GGCAAAGAGGAGACAATAAATGGGGACGTCTTTGGCATGGGAAGAAGGGTTAATGGATGATTTTAGTTTTATTTATTTATTTTTTAGAGGAAGGAAACAACATCATGTATGCTCTTGAAAATGATCTGGTAGAGGGTGAAAAGTGCTAATGCAGCAGAGAGAGAGGAGAAATGTTGAAGTGAGTCCGTGAGTGCATGAGTGCTCTGGTCTGAATGTTTGTGTCCCTCTAAAATTCATGTTGAAATTTAATCCCCAGTGCAAGAGCATTAAGTGATGGGGGATTTCGAAGGTGACCGGGTGAATGGTGTATGATTGATTAGTACCCTTAAAAAATAAAATGGCTTGAGGGAGCCTTTTTGGCCCTTTTTACCCTTCCACCATGTGAGCACACAGCAGAAAGCTGCTAGTGAGGAACAGGCCCTCCCAGACACTGAATCTGCTGGTGCCTAGATCTTGGACTTCCCAGCCTCCAGATCTGTTAGAAATAAATTCTTGTTCTTTAGTAATTACCCAGTCTAAGGTAGCTTGTTAGAGCAGTCCTAGTGAACTAAGACAATGAGAGAGTATGAGATTTGGTATGCAAATGGAGGCATTAGCTTGAAATGGCTCTGTTCATCTGCAGTAACAGGCAAAGAGGCAAACATGTAGGTGGAGATGTGATGAAGAGAGTCTGTGAAGTCTCTTCTCAGTGAAGTATGAAGGAAGGTCATCCACTTTTGAATGTGGGGTAGAAGGTGTTCAAAGTTTGAGAAGAGAAGCAAAGGTATAAAATAGCTAAGAGGGCCGAGTTTGGTGTCTCATGCCTGTAATCCCAGCATTTTGGGAGGCCAAGGTGGGCAGGATCATTTGAGGTCAGGAGTTCGAGATCAGCCTGGCCAACTTGGCAAAACACTGTCTCTGCTAAAATGACAAAAAAAAAATGATCTGGGCATGATGGCAGGTGCCTGTAGTCCCAACTACTCGTGAGGCTGAGGCAGGAGAATCCCTTGAGCCTAGGAGGTAGAGGTTGCAGTGAGCCGAGATTGCACCATTGCACTCCAACCTTAGAGACAGAGCGAGAATCTGTCTCAAAATAAATAAATAAATAAAATAGCTAAGAGAGCTGGGGAAGGAATGGACTACGGGAATGTACTAAGGCCCACCAGAGTTTCGTCACAAACATAAAGCGATTCCAATTAGGGTGGCTGTGACAGTGTAGGGTAACCTGGTGGCAGAATGCCATAAATCCAGCTTCAGTCTCACTGCTTTCAACTGTCCCCTTCCCTCACTCATAACACCTCTCATCGTCCCATTGTTCTCGAACACACTGCAGAAAGCAAAATAACACAACAAATTTGAGGCAGCAGTTCCAAACATGCACTCTGCAGTGACATGGAGTATTTTTGAGCTGTGAACACAGCGGCATCTGTTGGACACTGTATGAATTATTAGCTCAAGGGAATTCACAGTCTTCTCACTGCATGGAGCTACATTCCTTTCCATTACATACTTTCTTTGTCAAGCTGACTTTTGAGACGTTGCTGAAATAAAAGCAAGTATTACACAAGAATCTGTGTGATGTTCCATCCAATTCCTAAGTTTGAGGAGTTGTGTCATGTTCAACAGGCACACACATCTCACTCAGAAATTGTGGTTAAGAATGAAATAGGCTGGGCATGGTGACTCATGCCTGTAATCCCAGCTCTTTGGGAGGCCGAAATGGGTAGATCACGAGGTCAAGAGATCGAGACCATCCTGGCCAACATGGTGAAACCCCATCTTTACTAAAAATACAAAAATTAGCTGGACGTGGTGACATGTGCCTGCTGTCGCAGCTACTTGGGAGGCTGAGGCAGGGGAATTGCTTGAATCAGGGAGACGGAGGTTACAGTGAGCTGAGATTGCAACACTGCACTCTAGCCTGGGTGACAGAGCAAGACTCTGTTTCAAAAAAAGAAAAAAAAAAAGAAAAGAAAAAGACATGAGTTATAATTAAGTCATTTAGACATAAGCTAATTTTAGTGCAGTTATTAGCAATTTATTTTGACCTAGAAGTGCAGTGGAAAAATTAGAGATGCTAAGAGCACCATTTGCTGAAGAAATGTGGGAACCTCTGACTTAAAAATGAATTCCAGTTGCTTTCTCTCTTTATTCCAAATACTGAGTCAAGGCCCCAAAGAGTGCAGTTGTATGTAGTTGAACTAAGAATAATCATGCCAAAGTCTAAATCTTGCAGAGAAATTGCTTATGACACTCTCTCTACACCACCTCACCAAGTTCCCTCATTACATTAAAACTTGAGCCTAATTATCTCTCCCTAGTTTAAATGGCATATGGCTAGACTATAACCATCTATTATAATATGGGAATTTAAAGCCAAGAGTAAACCTATGCCTTTTAGCTCCCCTAGAGTCATTATCTCTAAAAGAAGTCAGAACATGCAAGTCGACAGAAGACTTGGCTTGGACATTTATCTTTTTGTCAACATCTACTCCAAATGAGTAATTCTTGATAGATGGCTTAAGTCAAATAATTGTGGCTCAGGACTGCTTTCTTGTCGCCAACCAAGATACCAGTAACATATGCATGTGTGTTGGGGAAATGAGATGCCAACAGGCGGTGTTTGTTTATATGTGTATATGTCTGTGTGTGCCTGGGCCTTTCAAGAGACTGTCTCTCTTCCCTGACCTGACACTGTGAGTTTTGCAAGTCAAGATAGTGCTTTGCAGCAAAAGAAGCTCTCAGCAGAGTAAACAAACAACCTACAGAAAGAGAAAATATTTGCAAATCATGTATCCAACAAAGGATTAATATCCAGAATTTATAAGAAATCGAAATGAACCTAAAAGAAACAACTCTATTAAAAAGTGGGCAAAGGACATGAACAGACACTTCTCAAAAGGAGGCGTATAAGCAACCAACAAACACAAAAAATGCTCAACATCAGTAATCCTCAGAGAAATGCACAATGAGATACTATCTCACACCAGTCAGAATGGCTATAACAAAAAATCAGAAAATAACAGATGTTGGCAAGGTTGTAGAAGAGAAGGAACACTTATACACTGTTAGTGGGGATGCCAAGTAGTTCAGCCACTGCGAAAAGCAGTTTGAAGATCTCCCAAAGTACCAAAACTAGAACTACCATTTGACCCCAGCAATTCCATTCCTGGGTATATACCCGAAGGGAGATAAGTCATTCTTCCAAAATGACATACACTTGTATGTTTATCATAGCACTATTCACAATGGCAGAAATGAAATCAATACAGCTGTCCATTAACAGTAGATTGAATGAAGAAAAATGTGGTACATATACACCATGGAATACTGTGCAGCCATAAAAAAAGAACAAATCGTGTCCTTTGTAGTAACATAGATGCAGATGGAAGCAGTTATCCTAAATTAACCAATGGAGAAACAGGCAACCAAATATCACATGTTCTCATTGACAAGTGGGAGCTAAATCTTGGGTTCACTTGGATGTAAAGATGGGAACAGTAGACACTGGGGACTCCAAAAGAAAGAAAGGAGGGAGGGAGGGAGGGAGGAAGTGGGTGAAGGGCTGAAAACCTTCCTGTTGAGTACCATGTTCACTATCTGGGTGATGGGATCAATAGAAGCCCAAACTTTAGCACCAAGCAATATACTCTTGTAAAAAACCTGCACGTATACCCCCTGAATCTAAAGTAAAAATGGAAATTTTAAAACATTGTGCTTTGTTAATTCAGGTTTGGGATAAAATGCACCTATAATCTCAGTTACTTGACTTGAGCCCAGGAGTTCAAGACCAGCCTGGGCAACATAGCAAGACTTAGTCTCAGAAAGATAGTTTAAAAAATGATAAATGCTTGAGGTGACAGATACCCTAATTACCCTGATTTAATCATTATACATTATATACTTGTATCAAAATATCACATAAACCCCACAAATACGTATAGCCATTATGTATTAATAATAATTAAAATTTAAAACCTATTTAAAGATTGTGCTTTATTAATTTGTGTTAGATTCAGTACCCAGAACAAGGCATGATATCTGGTAGACTTTGAATTTGTTGCTTACAATATGGAAAACAATAAATTGATGTTATCTACATAAGCAGATATACTACAAAAGCTGAAGAAGCTTGAGCTTCGGGGCCCCAAAGATTTGTAAAAGTAAGATAGGTTTACTGCAATTACTTTAAAATATTATTTATTTCTACTTTCTTACCCTCCATCGCATCTGACTTCAAGTCAGTGAGGTTGGATAGGTTACAAATATCTTGGGGATTAGATTTAGGGGAAGCTGAGTTAGGATACATTTAGACTGGGCATAGCGGGCTATATATTTAAGTGATTGACATTCACTTTGATATATATTTCTATCAAAGTTTGGGAATAGCTTCCAGGAATCCTTCTGCCCACTTTAAAGGACACATCCTAGGTGGTGACAAACAGGCGCAAAGTCAGGGGCTACATCCCAACATGAAATCCTTCTACAGTGCCCAGGACCAAAGGACCGTGCAAAGAGAGGGGAAACAGGGCTTGGAATGTACAGTGTGAGACACCAGGAGGCAGAAAAGGCTTCTTTTCATCAGGCGTGTACAATTATAAGCGGGTAAATCTTTCTCTACAACATCTAGTCAAAAAGGAGTTCCCTTCTGAAAAGAATATACTCAAAAGAGCGGAGCATGCATGATCCATTTCCTATTCTTCCTTTTTTGATGGGAATTGCATGACATAAGGTTTGCCAGCGTTTTATGTTTGTGCAGGTTAAACCCATCCTGATACCAGAAACAGCAAGGACATCCGTGGGTGAAGTCACACATTTTATGCATCTCAACCTATTGGTTTGCACCTTACCATATCTGATGTATCCATTTCTGATGAAGTCTGGTGGTTCCTGATGAAATGCCAGGAATGTACGCAAAATTGCCACGTCAGCAATTTTGTGCCTGAACTTTCTCAATTGTTAAATAACAAATTTCAGTCACTCTTTCTATCTTTATATGAAAACACTTCACGAGGAAACCATTGGATGTTATATGATTTTATTTTTCACAGAATGTCACAACAGACTTCCACTTCAGAGGAGTTTAGCTATGGTAATGTCAGCTGTGATAAACTGTAGTAAGGGACCCCGAGAGCGACCCCAACAACTTTTTGGAGGAATTCCATATATTCCAAGAACTTGAAATCTTTGCCACTAGGGGAATTCTGAAGTTTCTTTTCCTTAAAGTTTCAGGGGGAATAGTCCAGCGAATGGTTTTGGGTATAACCTCCAGTGAGTCTGCTGGTACACAGGCAAAAAAAAAGGGCCGGTTTTGTTTTCTTTCAGAATCGAAGTTGATATCGCCACGATGAGGTTTTGATGTTGATTTATGTTTGCTTTGGAAACAATCCAATCTTTCTGACTCATAATCATGCACTCTCTTCTTTCTGGCACATTTCTCCTTACTGTGTGTACAACTGTAATCGTGGCCCCAGTGACTATTGTTCTTCCTAAATAAATCAAATCTGGCCTTCTTTCTTTCTTTTCTTTCTGGGTGCATGTGAGACTTGTCTTGGTTTTTTGCAAGATGCAATTTAATATTTGATTCCGTTAAGGAAGCTAAAGAGTAACTTGTTCTGCTCCTGGTAGTCCATGAAAGTTTCTCTTCACTGAGTGATAGACCAGATGACCTAGACTGAATTTCCACAGCATTTAATGAACGATGACACAACCAGTCAGGAGATTTCGTTTTGGAAGATGATCTATATTTCCTGGTTTCACGGGACTTATAAGAAGGTGATGTAATAAATAAGGTTTGCTTTCTGTACCCTCTAGTACAATGCGAACCTGAATCTTCACTGTAAAATGATTTCAAATCACTTGTGATTTTGTAGGGATTTTCCAAAGGCATGCCTGTCTGTAACTCAAATAGAATATTTTGTGATTCCTGATTTAAATAAGGGTTGGCTTCCAGAAACATACATTCCTCACTCTCACTTACTTCAAGACCTGGACATTTGTCCAACTCAGCTGGACTCTCAATATTTGTCTGAATATCAATAAAATCTTCTGAAATCTGAGTTTCATGTGAATCAGCTGAACCAACAGCATTGCTCTGAGTCCTTAAATCGATAGATTTATATGTATTTGTTTCTTGAAACCATACATGATATTGTTTGTTTTTTTCTGGAGTCACATGGAATTCTGAATGTGAAAGAACTTGAGTATCTTTCTTTCTTGGGCTATGCAGATCACGGTCAGAATCACACACGAGGGTTGGCTCTGGGAATATTCTGATAAGTGATGAATTTTCATGGGGACTTTGCTTTTTGAAAGAAATATGTTGCTCTAACAGTTCTGTATCAATGGGAAGACTCCCACTTTCTCCACTAGCATCTACTTTTTTACACATTCCAACTGTGTTTAACTTATTATGTTTGGGAAGTACATTTGGCTTAGGGAATGTACTTCCAACAGGAAGCCCCAGGAGAAAACGAAGGTATTTGTATTGTAAATCAAGATCTATTTGATGGAGAGATTTTTCCTCAAAAAGTAACAAAATTCTGTTTTGTCGTTCTGGTCTTGTGATACCAGAATGAACACAGTTAGATTGAGGTTTCTTTCTCTCCTGAGCACTGGTCATTGCATGAGATTCTCTTACAATTCCGGGAAAGGCTTTCATTTGTATCTCCAATGTTTTCACAGAAAAGTGCATGAGGAGTTTGGCTTTTTCTTTTGCTGAGTAGTTTTGGAGGGTATGAGGCAATAGCATCTCACTAGCAGAAGTCACTGAAGATGTTCCACTTTCTAGCTTATTAATACTCTGTGGCTTTGTGGTCTCCTCACTGCCATTTGAAACATCAACAGTCAGCGTCTTCACATTGCTGATAGGAGGTGAATTCTTTTGGTATTTGTGTTTTGAGTTAGGTTCTATGGTATTAATCCCTTCTAGAGACATAAAGCTCATTGTTTTATGTCTCGAATAGAACCTCCAACTGTTACTGTTTGAAAGAGTCCCTTTTGGATAAAAGTTGAACATGCGTAAAGATTTTTTTGCCATCTCTGGCATCAGATTCAATTGTATTTCAAATGCTTTTGACTCTAAATGATTAGTAAGCTTATTTTTTTCTTTGGGAGTAAACTGTTCTAAAAGGGGGTTGTGCTGCATTTTGGGATATTTTGCTGTTGATGTTGTATGTGAACCCTCTGGATAAGGTGCTAACTTCAAGTCATCAGGCTTATAGGCTTGTATATTATCCAGTTTATCAGAAGAAACTTTGTCTTGGGTCATATTTTTAACATGGGATTCAGAGATATCTTTTGTTGCTTCACAAATAGGAAGTAAATGTTCTGCATTTGTACTGTCTGCAATGATTTTGACTTCATTACTTTTAACTTGAGGTGGTATGGGCACAGTTCCTGGGAAAGCATTTTGTTGCCAAACCTTTTGTGTGGTCATGTCCCACACTGGTTCATTCTGATCCCTTTGCTTGGGTAACTTTGGATCTTCAAGCATAGATGGACACTCTGTGGGTGTCAGAATGCATTTGGGAATCATTTCTTCTTGCTTGATGATATACAAGTCTGGTTTTTTAATGACCCTTGAGACATCATTCCCTAGAACAACCCATTCTTTTGTTTGCGCCTTTAAGTATTTTTTATTCATTTCACTTCTGAAGTTTGCTTCTGATTTGACATTTGGAAGTGTCTGCATTTGTTGTTTGTCCATTACAAAGGGCTGGGGATCTTGTGGAACTGTGTTTGTAAAATTCTGTTTCCCTTTTACAATTGTTAAACTGTCTCTCTTAAAAATTTCACTAGTGTTTGGTGATTTTTTCTGGAATTTAGAAAGGCAGATTCCCTTTCCTCTTTCTAGGTTTGTCTTAGAGTCAGGGTTAGGTGAACTCATCATAGAAATAGAAATACTTCTGATAAATATTCCGGAGACATCTTTACTCCATGAAACCATGTTCTTTAACTTAACATCATACTCTAATTTCTTTCTATTGCTTGGTGTACCATGCCCTGTGATATTAAGCAACTGTGGAATTGGGTGTTTCTGGATTTTCATAGTTAAATATTTAGTGCTCAATTCTCTTCTCAGATCTGTTATTGTTAATCTGCCTTTTTGGTCTTTATGTTTGGAAGAAAGAGGAACGTAGGAATAAAAAGAATCCAGGATATTTCTTTGAAACAATTTTTGTAGTTGAATGCTTTCTTTTGCGTTAGATGCCTCTAGTTCATTTTTCTGTTTTTGCATGATTAGGCACTTCTTCTCCCTATGAGTGGTGACCTGAGTCTTCATTTGAGATTCTTCTGCCTTTAGAGATGGAAGGTGCAGGTGTGCACTGTGCCTTGTGTCCTTTCTTACTTTCTCCGTCTCCAGATTGGCAGTCCTGGCCTTATGCAACTCTGTTTTATCTTCTTCCAGATATAAAGCTCTGTGTGTGCCTATTTTTAATTTCCCTTCTTTCTGATTCACAGCACTACCGTGGTCCACTTCCAATTGCTTCTGCTCTAGATTTATATTGGTGTTTGTGTCTGTTTGATCTTTTTCTTTCAGATCCCCTGATTGAAATGGAAAAGTCCAGGGAGAAAATAGGGATTTGGGAAGCAATTCCAGAACACATGCCTCTTGTTCTGAAATGAGCAATGCCTGCTCCTTTCCCCCTCTTGCAGTGTCAATCTTTGTCACATCTACATGTGTCCCTGGTAGTGTCTGTAGTATCTGCAGGCTGGGCTGCGCTGCTGTTTTCTGGTCCACATCTGTTTCCGATGGTGTCTTCTCCGTTCCACTTTGAAGTGGAAACTTAAGAGAAAGGATCGTGTTCAGCCTGGTCTTGTGCCCATGTTCCGACTGTTGCATCACTTGCTTTTTCATGCCAATATCTTGTTCTTCTATATTTTGTGGGGCATTCCAATTGGTGACGATACCTATTTTTTTGAGTGATCCCTTTGTCTGTGGTGCTAACACTTTGGGAGAAAGTATTTTGCTGATTTTCTCATTACTTTGTACATCTTTCCCTGGCTTATCAAATGTGCATGAACCTGCAAGTTCTGGAGATACTTTCAATGAAGTTTCTTGCTGGTGAGCATATCTCTCTGAAACAGAAAATCCTTTTGAACTTGCAAGGGTGCCAAGAGTGACGTGTAGTTCCTTAGATATTTTCCTTAGCAGTGAAACTGAAACCTCAGGACTGATTTTATGGTTTAAGTTGTCCATTATTTCAGTTTCTTCCTCCCGACCACCCATTTTAGTTGCATCCATTGTGGGATAGGAAAGAAATGCAGTAAAAGTTTCTGTTTTGTATTTTTCTGGCTGAGCCTTTTTCTTTGTAAAGAGCCATTCCAGCCTTTTCCCACTTCTTCTGGTACCAAACCCTGTGAAATAAATGTCCTCATCCTGTGAATTTAAAACTAACTGACTCAAATATCCTCCTGACCTGACTCGTGAAGGTTCCTTCCTTTGCTGGACGCCGATCTTGAAGTTTGAGGTCCACTGTGGCTCTGCCTCTGGGTGAGGCACGTACTGGCCTGCTTGCTTAACAATGTTTTTATCATCGCCTTCGACTGAGTCTCTCTTTGTTATTTTCTGGGTATTTGAGGGTACCCGGAGATTTCGCTGTGGACCAGACGGTCCTGTGATTCCTGGTGTGTCTTTGTCTATTTTGTTCCCTGAATCCACATAAAGAGGAGGCGCCGATGGTACAGAAAGCAAAGTCCGTGGCAGAATCACGCCTGCTTCGTCTTTATCTTTGTGGACTTTTTTCTCCAGTGTGTTCATATTCAACACGAATTCCTTTGCATTAAGGATATGTGAAATTGGTGAACGCCTTGCCTCTTGGCAGTGTATCCTGACCCGCATCTCTGTCATTTTCACTTCATGCCTGTTTTCTTTCTGTGACCTATACGCTTTTCCTTGTCTTACATCAGCACTCCTCGCCTCCGCAGCTGCTGTTTTCTCTGTATCTGGTGATGCTGAAGGCGTTAGCGGAAGTAAACAGGGTGTCTCACCTCCAAGCCTTTCTTCAACTCCTTGCGCAGCTCCCTCCAGTTTAAGGTTGGGTGGTAAAAGTTTGGAAGCACACTTCTTTCTTTGAAGCATACTTGGTGGTTTATCTTGACCTTCATCTTCCTTTTCTTCTTGCCCTCTGATGTTCACGTGCAGTTCTGTTCTGTGGAGCATGCGGGAACGAGGTGACTTCTTTGACTTCAAAGTTATATCTGTGCCTCTTGTATCTATTATCATTTTCCTTTCTCCTTTTTGAGGGATATGTTGCTTTTCATTTTTAACATATTTCGAGTTATCACCAACAGTTGACTCTCTATGTACAATCTCCTCCATGTGTGATATTCGGTGCAGAATAGAGCTTTTAAGTCTGAGCGTTTCATGATCTAAGTGTGTTTCTCTATCCAGTTCCAGTTGAGATAGAGTTGGCCATGAAGTAGATTTGGTCAGAACCACACCTGGTTCACCTTCACATTCCTGTGTCTTCTCTTCCTGATGTTTGGGGAATATGATGATGTTTACTGTTTGCACTTCATCCTCTTCCTTGTTCTGTGACACGTGTTTTCCTTTTTGTAGTCGGATTAAAACATCACCAGCAATTGGCCTTATGTCTATGCCTCCCTCAGTATCTGGTGATTCCTGGAGCTTTACTAGGGGAAAAGAGGATCCTGTTAATATCAGTAGGCTTTCCTCTTGAAACTCAGTACTCATGTTAAAGTGAAGTGGGGAGGATCTAGAAGGACTCTCAGACCACATGACACCTGGCCCACTTTTAACTTTCTGAACCTTTTCCTCCTCTTGTTCTCTAGTTTTCCACTGAAGATCACTTAAGCTGTGTGTATGTAAGATAGGTGATTTCTTGGCCTTCAAATACATTTTGTTGGGATCCACTACTCTGGTCGTATCTGCTGCTTCTCCTCTATCCTTCTCTTCTTTCTGTAGCAGGTGTACTTTTAATTGCTTTACGTCGTTTGAAAGTTGTCCATGGCTTGTTTCTGGACATGTTATTCTCCCTGCATCTGATGATTCCTTGAACCATGACTGTGGGAGAGACACATTTTTTCCTGAAGCTGATGATACAGGAAGGTTCAGTTGTGAAGGAGATAATCCATGGTGAGAGGCAGAAGGCATGAACGGATGAGTTTTTGTCAGAATCACATGCGGACGTCCTGTCCTTTCCTGCTTCTGGCCTGCTCTCTCTTTCATGCCCCACTGCACCTCCTTTCTCTTGCTCGGAGGACTGTTCTCAGTGATGCTGAACGCCTGTGCAGGTGCTGATGTCTTTGCCTTGAAGATGGCCCCATTGGGGTGTATCACACCATGCATGGATGCTGTTTGCACTCTGCGTTCCTTCTGTGGGAGAGGATGTTTCTCCTTCTTTACAAGGCCCTCTATGGGCTTTGTAGGTGCTGTTTGCCCTGGAGGCGATGATTCCTGGAGCTCGAGATGTGGCATACAGCTTCTTCTTATTCCTGGTTCACCTTCTTCTTTTATTGAGTCTAACTCAAGGAAAGTTGGAGAAGTGACAAAAGGGTAAGTTTTGCTCAGAAGCACAACTATTCCCACCTCACCTTCCTGTGCCTTTTCCTCCTGTTGACTGATGCTCACTTGCAGCTCCTTTGTTTTTAGGGTGTGGGAAATGGGTGATTTCTCCACCTTCATAACTATGTACTTGGAATGCATTACACTTTTCTCAGAAGTATTTGCCTTATCCTTTTGTATCTGGGTCGTGCATTTTGTCCTTTTTGAATCACCTGCAATATCATTCAAAGACGACGTCGTATATTTTAATTTCTCTGTATCTGATGATTCCACATCCCACGAAGGTGGAGGAAAGGCTCTTGTGACTCCTTGTTTCTCTTCTGTGCCTTCTGACCCTTCATCTAATTCACAGTGAGGTAGAGATGGTGTTGTCAGAACCTCTTCCAGTTCACTCTTCCTTCCCTGGACTTGTTTCAGTTTTTCTTCTACGTTCGTTGGTACTTCTCCAGGTTTTGAGCCACCACTGCCAGGAATACCAAGTATGTGTGGAAGTGATAATTGCTCTGCCTCAAAAATTGTGCCTTCAGTTTGCCTTACAGAATTCATACCTACTGTCTTTCCTCTCTCTGCGTCTTCCTGTAGTTTGTATTCGTGTAATGTTGTCACCTCCTTTGAGCTATCCTCCCCAAATGACTTTGCGTGTGCTATTGTCCCTGCATCCAATGATTTCCAGTGCCTTAACTGTGAAGTAGCAGATTTTATTATTCCTCGTAAGTCTTCCTCTCCTTCTATTCTTGTGTTCATTTTGTAGCAAGTTAGAGAGGACTCAGAAGGCAGATACAGGAACAGAACTGCTTCCTTTTCACTCTTGTGTTCATCCTTTTTCCAACGCTCTATGCCTACTCCATCTGCTTTCTGTTGCTCAACTTCTTGATGCATTCTCCCTTGCTGTTTGTCTCCTCTATCAGCTCTTCCCTGTCCTGCACCTTTTCCGTCCTCTTTCCCTTGCTCCTCGTCTTCTCTGTCTTCTTTCTCTTGCTCCTGAGTGTCTTGATCCATTTGCTTTGGCTCTTTAGGATTCAGTGGCAGGTCCTGTGGAAGTGCCTTCTTTCCTTTTAGGCCTCTGTCTTCTGGATGCATTATGTCTTTCTTAGCTGATATCCTGACTTCATTCTCTTCTTTCTGTTGCGTATAATCTTTTGCTTTTTGTACATCAATTGTGATATCACTCTCATTGGCCGCTCCATCTGCTTTTTTCCCTGCCTCTGATAATTTTTGGTGTGATAGTTCTGGAAGATAATATGTTGTTATTTCAGTTACATACTCTGCTTTTTCTACTCGTGTATCCGATTGTAAATGAGAAGAAGAAGGGATAGAAGTGCTGGCATTCGTCAGAAGCACACTTGATTCACCTTTAATATTTTCTATCTTTTTCTCTTGCTCTTCGATATCCAACTGAATTCCCTGTGAAATTGATAATTTCCTTTTCTTCAAAGGTAAATTTTTTTCCATTTTTAGCCTCTCCTGTTCTTTTTCCAATACATGTTCTAGGGTCTTTTTTACACTGTTTGAGATGTTATCAGAAATACACTTTTCATATGCTATTTTCTCTATATCTGATGACTCTTGGAGATTTGGCTGTGAAAAGGAGGATCTCATTTTCATTCCCGTGGCTTCCTCTCCTTTCATTGCGTCCATTTTAGAGTAAGGTAGAAAAGAGATGGAAGCAAAAGGTTTGCTCCAAATCTCAACTTGTTTATTTTCCTGAATCTCTTCCCCTTTTTCTTTGAAGTTTAATTCTTGGAACACTGAAGCCTGCGTCACCTCCAGAGCTATTCTCTTGGAGTGCATAATTTTTCCTAAAGCCTTTTCCACTCTGTCTTTGTCGTTCTGTGGTAAACGTTTTGCTTTTCCAATACTGCTTCGAATGTCACCAACTGGCTGCTCACATTTTTGCACTGTGTCTGATAATTCCCAGAATGTGGAGGATGGAAGACAGAATCTTGTTATTTCTCTTATGTATACCTCTTTTATTCTAGGATTCCATTGCAAGTGAGGTGAAGAAAGAATAGAAGCACAAAGTTTATTCTGAACTATGTCTAGATTACTTTCATCTTCCCTCATCACTTTCTCTAGTTTTTTACTGCTCCGCTGTGGTTCTTTTCCGTGCAGTAAGTGTTTAAAAGGTGATTTCTTTCCTTTCAAAGTGATACGTATGAGGTCCATTATGTCTTTCACATCTACTATATTTTCTCTATCTTCCTTATTTTTCTGTGGCAAACATTTTGATTTTATTACATTACTTAAACTCTCTCTGTTAATTGACTCTGTAAATGATACTCTTCTGATGTTTGATGATGCCTGGAGCTTTAGTGGTGGAAGGCAGCCCTTTAGAATTCCTGACATATCTTTACCTGCTTTTGTTCTTGAATTTGAATTACTACGTGATAGAGATGATAAAGAAGTACACACGTTTGTCAGTTTCATACCTGATTTACCTTTACCTTCTTGCATCTTGCCCTCTTGTTTCATAACATCCAACGGCAAAGGAAATTCCTTTATACTGAGTGTATGTGACAGTGATGATTTATTTGGCTTCCAAATGATGTCAGGGCTTTTTATTCTTTTCCTATCCATTGCTTTTACTCTGTCTTTCTTCTCTCCCTGTGATCTATGTTGTTTTGTCCTTTTTACATGATTGGAGATCACCCTGTCGGTTGTCTCTTTATTCAATTTGAAGTGAGGTAAAGAAAGAATGGACTCATATATTTTTGCTGCAACCAAATCTAGTTCACTCATTCTATGTTTCACATTGATCATTTTCTCTGTCACATTCCATTGCATTTCTAGTCTGTTACTTGGGGCACCACAGTCACTGGTATTGAGTATATGTGAAAATACCGATTTCTTCAATTTTGGAGTTCTTCTTTTGTGGTATATCATACCTTTCCTAATAACTTGTTTTATGCTATCCTTCTGTCCCTTACTTTCTGGCAAAATAGGCATGGATACAGAAAGAGGATGTAATATTACAGGCAGACATACTTCTTTTTGTACCTTTTGATTTGCCTTAGGTGATTGTATTTTCTTCCCAAATCTCAACTTGGTTGAGCTGCTATTTGATATTAAATCAAAGACTTCTACCCCATCCGAGGATTTCATTCCTTTTGGAAATGAGAGACTTGGATATTTCATAGTTTTATGGTGTGATCCTAAAAGCAGCATTGTATCTTGTTTTTTCATCTGCCTTGGAGTAATCAAGGGCACAATCCCTTCCAGTCCATCGTTAGTTACAGTACTTATTTGATCTTCAGAAAACAAGTCTAGTCCTGGAGTCTGACTTGATACATTACCTCCTTCTGATATTGCTTCCTTTTCCTGAGGCATTAAATGTTGCAGGGCATAGGGATACTTTTGAGGGTAAGATATATGCTCCCAAAAGTTCTCATGGGAAATTGGTAGGCATTGCCATTTTTGGCCTGTTTTGAGTAAGGCTTGTCTTTTTTTACTGTTTTGAGTATATCCAACTATAACATCCATTTGTTTTACTGCTTCTTTGGTCTGTGAAGTTAAATGGTCATAATGCAGAATATTCATAGCATCTAATTTCTCTTCTTGCATTGAGGCATTGAATTGATGTAGATCTGTTTTGGAGTGAGGTGCAGACTTTGGAAGAGCCTCATATGTACATTTTTCTTCCTGTTCTGACTGTCCTGTAAAAAGCAAGCCAATTTCTTTTGTATTTGAAGTGTGGTACCCTGAACTATCTGCTTTCTTTACCTTTGGTGACTTAATCTCATGTATGTCCATTAGAGAGTGAGAAACAGATGCTGGAAAAGCCTTGTGCGTACTTTCTTGTGGATGTCCTTTTCTTCTTTTAATATTGAAATGTATTCCTTCTGAACATGGAGGCTGATCCACCGGAATGCCTACTTTGTGTGATGCCTGCTCTATCATTGGGCTTGAAACTTTTGAACTCATTATCTCTTCTGCTGACCCTTCTTTCTTGGGATTTTCAATATGAGGTTGATGCAATGTGCAAGGGAAAATGGATTCCAGAATATTCTCTATATTCTGATAACAATTACTTAGTTGCTTTGCCCTCGATTTTTTTGAAAAGTCCATTTTCTGTCTATTTGATTTTAATGTAATATTAGGTAATTTTGATTGCTCTCTTCCCCAAAGATTTTCATTGAAACTTTCAGAGATGCTAACATTTTCTTTCCTTGTTTTCTCTGCCTGTTTTAAGTGAAGAGGGTCCTTATTGGGGAAAGATACAGAATCCAGAATACTTTCAGGAACATAATCTGGATTCACCTGTCCTTTCGGCACTGTAGGCACTTTGTGCTGAACCTCTGGATTTGTACAAAAAAAATTCTGTCCTTTAGAACCTACTAAGATACCGGTTTCCTTTAATCCTTCTCTTCCCAATACATGTGGAATATTTTTTCTGTTAATGTACACATCTTCTTCCTCAGCTATCTTTCCTGTGTTTTCCAAATGAAGAGGTTCCATAATGGGGCAGGCCATTGACTCCAGGTTTGTCATGGAAATATCTTCTTGTTTCAGCAATTCTTGCTCCTGGCAAATCTGTTGAGAAGTATCCAACTCTGTAAAAAGTATATTCTGTCCGTTTGAGTTTAGCGGAATATCTCGACCCTTCGATACTTCGCTCTCCCATGGAACTGGAACTGAACCTGAATGTTTGGCCATGCCTGTATCTTTTTCCTTTGCTCTTTGTGCAATGAGAAATTCAAGTTCTACATCTTTTCTAATTCTCGGGGCATCAAAACTACTGTAATTGATTTGTTGTGAACTAATTTTTAACGGTTCAATACAGTATTGGGATGTGTCTTCTAAAATGCTTTGGTGTTTTTGTTCCTTTTCTCTAACATCTTGATCCTGTTTCCTAAGAATGCCGGACATATCAGTACATCCTGTCAATGACCTTTGCATTTCTTTTAGTGGTTTCTCCAGCTTTAACTGTGGAAGACTGCACACCCTGTCTTTTGGCTTGTCTTTCTCCATTTTTACTTCTCTAAGCTTTTTAATGCTAGACACATAGTATCCAGAGTCATAAACAGCCTTTAGAACTTGATGTACTGCATTTTTACTCAGCCGGAATGCCTTCTGCTGCTGGATGTTACCTCTGGTTTCCTTTTGATTGCCTGCAGTACCATATTCAAGCAGCTGGGAAACTGGTATTCTCTTTGCCTTCAATTTTACCTGTTTGGTTTGCAGAGCACTTTCCACATTTGCTGTCTTTGCCTTATCTTTATGTCTTATGATATTAGGAAAAACAGATGTGTAGGGATTAGGAGAACTCCAGGTAGTGCCTGAGACACACGGCTCTTGCAGTTTCTTTTGCAGGGCACGTGTCTTGGGATCTGCTCTTGTTTTCCAGTCTTCAGTTTCAAATTCTTTCTTGCTTTCAGTTTGAAGTAGATGTATCTTAGAGAAAACAGACTTGGGATTAAACTCTTCTGCAACACTTATCTTTGCTTCTTGATCCATTAAATCAACTTCTGTGTTCTGGGGAGTGATGATCTGAGAACAAACTGTACTGACTAAAGGTGCTTCTGTTTTGAAAGGACCAGGGTCTCTCATTTGATCTGCTCCAAACTCAGATGGCTGGATGTACTGTGGAGCTGTTCGAATACAAACCTGTTGTCCATACCCTTCTTTCTCCCTAACTTTTTCTTTGTTTAGGGCATTTCTTGTTTCAGAAGATTGTTCATCTATATCCCAGGTACCAGCTGATGGCTCCATTTTTATGTGGAGTAGACTAGGTATAGGAACACATGTAGATTTTAGCTTTAATGCAGCTTCATTTCTCTCTTCTTCTGTCTTTTGGGCTTTAAACTTCAGTTTCTGTTCCTTATGACTGATTAGAGCAGCATGACCTCCAGTATCAAATGATTGTGGAGCTGCTGATTGCTTTGCCTGCAAAGGTCTACCTTCAGGACTTGACCTGTCAGCTATTTTAAGGCTGTCATTCTGTCTTTTCATTTCTTCTGAAGCAGGCAAATGCCTGCCGACAGAACCTGGCATGACTCCTGCCAGATTACAGAATGCTTTTTCTTTTAAAACAGAATAGCCAGTGTTCTCTTTATCATATTTATTTGATATGGCATCATCTGTGGGCTCACTCGGTTCTGCACAGTGACCTGATTTCTCCTTCCTTGGGAGCCCAACTTTGAGACTTCCTTTTCCATTTTTGTTTTTTTCCATTTTTACATCTTTTTCTGAATTCCCTTTGTAAATCTGACTTTTTGAGAAAAAAGGTTCTCCCAAAAGCACATCTTCTGATTTACCAGGATGAGGATCCTTTCTAAGATGTGTATTTGCCATGAAGTTTTCTGCAGAGAATGGACCCATTTCTGTAAGATGTTCTTGCTTCTCTTCCCCGCTTTCTCTAACATGTAGTTTTGCTCCCTTTAACAAGCTGGAAGTTCCTCTCTTGTCAATGGAACCAGAATACCTTGTTATTCCTTCAGCTGGTGACTCTATTTGTGTTGGTTGTGTATGACTTAACCCTGATATTCTCATGTCTACCTCTGTTTGGAATCTGCTTGGCGTTTTAATGTCAGCAGTATCTGGAGTGAAGAATATGGTATTTGGAAATGTATTGGCCACATTTCCACCTTGCCACACTGCTTTCAGTTTGGTTTTTAAATTGGATTCCACTTTCTTCCTATATTTTGTAGCAAACTGTCTATTGATTTTATGTATCTGTGAAATTGGTGGCTTCTTTTCCTTCAGAGTTAAACATTTGTGATTCAATATAATTTTCCTTTCTGATAACTGTACTGTGTTTATCTGGTTTTTAGAGTCAGATAAAACATGCACGAAATAATCTAAATAACCCAAGAAAGTTGCAGCTAAGTTTTCTTGTACTTTTTCCTTTTCCTCTGTAATATGGCCCTGATTTTCTTGGAGTGTTCTGTTGGATAGAGTTTTTAAATAGGATTTAAGTTTCTTCCTATGTTTTGTGGCAGATTGCCTATTGATTTTATGTATCCGTGAAACTGATGACTTCTTTTCCTTCATAGGTAAATATTTGGAATTCAATATAATTTCTTTTTCTGATAAGTGAACTGTGTTCATATGGTTTTTAGGGTCAGATAAAACAGGCATGAAGAAATCTAAAGGACTCAAGAAAGTTGCATCTACGTTTTCTTGGACCTCTTCCTTTTCACCTGTAATAAGACCATCCAGATTTTGTTGGCACGTTCTGTTGGACAGAATGCCCTTCACTGCTATATTGAATAAGAGTTTATCAATCACTGCTTTGGATGGTAGACTCTTAGCATATTCAGTGGCACTGAGTAATGCCTCTCCTATACTTGTGTACCATTGCCTCCCTTTCATCTTGTACTTCAAGTGGTGTCGCTTTTTCTTTCCATGGTTTTCTGTAGGGTATCTTATGATATTAAACAGCTGTGAAATTGATAGTTGCTTTGCCTTCAAAGTTACACGCTTGGGACTCATTATACTTTTCTTGCCCATAAACTCTAATGTATAGCTCCGGCTTTCATATTCAGATGACACAAGGCTGGAGAAATCTAAAGGTTTTAAGACTGTTCTTAAGGTTTTTTGATTCCATGCAGTTTTCTCAGAAATAGAACTATTCCATTTCCTTCTAGGATTTTCATCCAAAGGAGTATCAAATGGTATTGAACCAATCTCTGATTTCCCTGTTTTGGGAAATGAAGTCTTTAGACCTACCATACATTTTATTCCTTCCTGCATATGAGGACTTTGTTTCATCATATACCTAGAAATAGGCTCTAAAACAGTTTCTCTAAAGTGTGTTTCTTGCTTTGTTTTTTGCACTGTATGAGACAAATTCCAAGAACTTCTGCCTTCTGGACTTTTCAGTTCAGATTCTGATTTGAAAGGGTCAGGATCTTTCATCTGATGTGCACTGAAACTGAGGTGGTGACTATAGGATGGAACTGATTCTGATAACGTTTTTTGAATATTTTTATCTTCCCTTTCATGTTGTACATTCATGTTTATTGAGATGCTAGATCCACTTTCCATATCAGTCAAATCGGCCTTCTCTGCCTCCCCACCATGTGGTGATATCTGTAACTCCAGGACAGCTGCTTGCAGATCTCTATTAAACTCAACCTTTCCCCCTTTATCCAAATTGTGCTGTTCCCCACTACATTTCCCGTCAGTTGGCATACTATGTTTTATCACACCAATTAAAACTTCACCATTTAGTGAGTCCTCTGATTTTAGAGGAGGAAGATTTGCGTTTACTGTACATATGGTACCATTTTGGGTCTGGAGGCATTTGTTTGTCTCCACTCCTTGTATTGGTTCTGCAGAATGAAGTTGTTGTGGGACATCTTGTTTGGTAACAAACAGAATTTTCCTACTTCCTTTGTTTTCTAATTTGTGAAAGTCGAGATCCTCCTTCTGACCCGAACGGAATATGAAATGTTGCACGTATTGTGGAATTACTTTTAACAATGCCTCCTGATCCCTTGCTTCTTGCTCTTCATCTTGAAGACAGGTTTCTTTAATGTTATCTGAAGTAATACTATCTTCATTTGGAGACATATCTTGCTTTACTCGAGTATAACCGAGTCTTTTTTCTCTAAGTGTGTCTTTTTCTTTCTCTACCTTGCCATACGTGTTAATGTTAGGTGTCATAGTCAGGAAAGCATATGTTTTATCTGCCCCCTTTTTGCCTGGATGCATTTTTTTCATTTTGGTTGTCAAGTTACAGCTCAGTTCTTTTCTACGATTTGGACCAGCACTAGCCTTGATATTGAGCATATATGAAATTGATGGCTTCTTTGCCTTCATAATTCCACATTTGGGATTCACTAAAGTTCTCATGTCTGAAAATTGTTTTAAGTTTCTCTTCCTTTTAGGTGTAGATAAAGCAGACATGCAGGAAGCAAAAATCACTGTCTCTCTCTTTTCACTACCACCAGCCTGTTCCTTTTGATAGCTAGAATCAGATGAGATACCACCTTCTCTTGCATAAAATATGATTTCATCAAACTTTGCTTCCCCAGACTTTAGAGGTGAAAACCTAACATATCTCTCTACCTTTTCAAATTGAAATTGATCTAGTTTAGGACCTGAAGTAGACTCCAAAATAGTTGGTGTAAAATGTGTTTGTGGTTGTATGTGGATATTTGCATTTCCTGCTTGGTTCCGTTCGTCATCTGATTTGACAAGCTCATGATCCCTCTGATGTGCATTGAAGAAGCCATGGCTATTCTTGGGAGCCTGTATAGCTTTGGGAGGTGGAATCTTAGGACCCACAAGGTCTGTTATGTCGTTTTTCGTTTTGTTGGCTTTTTGTAGTTCTTCAGCTTCTAAAGGACCCATTTGGAGACTAGTCTTTAAAGTAGTTTGTTGAAAATCTGTTTGGTGCTGCAAACTTTGTCCATTAACACATTGCTCCAGTGTTAAATAATTCAGCTCTGGGTGTGATTCAAGATGGATTTCCTTCATTTGACAGGTATCAGCCCCCAGGTGCTGGCTAAGCTTTGGCACTGCTTCTAACGAAGCTTTTTGTTCCTCTTCCTCTCGGTCTTGAAATTTTTCCTCTCTGTCATGGAATACACTATTCTTAGCAAAGACATCAGTGTATGTCTTACCTGCTGGTTCTCCTTGCTTTAATTGAGACACAGGGAGACAGAAATCTCTCTGCAATCTGCTATGCATTGGAGAGCAAAGAGTATTTAGATATTCAGGTACCAATCCTTTAGCTTGGTTTATCTTTTTAAACTTAAAGTCTAACTCTGATTTCTTTCTGTGGCTTGTGACACTCACTGTCTCTGAGGTTGATGGCTTCACATCCTTTGCACTTACGCATTTGGACTTCACTGTACTTGTCGTGAGTGCAAATGTTACCCTCTTTTTCATCACTTTAGAAGAAGACAAAACAGGTGTGCAGCAATTGAAAGTCTCTGGCGAAGCTGCTGGTAAATCTTTTGGTATTTCTGTCTTTTTTCTTGCAAAACAGTAACCCATTTCTCTTGTATCACTTCCATTACTTGGAACATCATTTTCTCTTGTTTGGTTTAAAAGGTCTCCAATCAGTGATTTTCCTGATATTGGAGGAGGCATCACTGAATCTGCAGTACATTTGCAGTCTGTTTTTGTTGTTTGACTGCTCTTCACATTCTCAACATGAGATGATCCCATTACAGGAGAGACAACAGACTCCGTAATAGTTTCTGTGAATGGGATTGGCTGATGCATTTCTTTCTCTGTTTTAATCTCCTCCGCTAGATGTGCATGAAGTCCAAGGCTCCAGCCATCATGCAGGACTACTTTTGGTAGAGTTTCTTTGATGCATTTTACTTCATCTTGCAGTTTAGCTTCTAGTGTGTTTTGGGATTCATTTCCCTTACCAACAAAAGCTGGACACTTTTCTTCCCTTCCAATTTGGGATTCCTCTTGGACCACCTTGATATAACTGTGATTCTCTGCATGTAATCTGCCGTGCATTCTAGTATTAGGCAAAATAGACATGTGAGGGTTAATAACATTCAGAAGCACACCTGCCACAATTTTATCTTGCAGTATCTGTTTAATTACGATTTCAAAATTGCCTCCCATTTTTTTCCTGTGGTTTGGAGTACCACATATATTGACGTAAGGGATCAGTGAGATTGCTGGCTTCTTTACTTTCATAATTACATATTTGACACTGAGTACATTTTTTGTTTCTGATAATTTTTTTTTAATTTTTTGCCTTTTAAGATGTGATAAAGTAAGCAAGTGGATATCGAAAGGCCCCAGGGCAACTGCAGGTAAATCTCTTTTTATGTCTTCCTTTTCTTCTACAATATGACCATCCATTGTCTTTCGGAGGTTTCCACCAAATGGAACACTATACTCTGTTGTTTCAACTGAAAGTTCACCAACTGCCAAGTTCTCTGGCATTGTAAGTGGATTTTTCAGATCTGCAGCACTCTTTCTGTCTGCAGGTCTATCTGTGCTTTGCTTCACCTTCTCAACTTGAAATGGATCCATCATGGGGCATGGACTTGTCTCCAAAATTGTTTGTGTAGAAAGAGTTTGTGGTTGTACCTCTTGCTCCTTGTTTGGGGCTTTAGTACTTCCTGAACTGATCTGTTCCATTTCAAATTTGATGTATTTGGGCCTTTGCTTTAGATGCATGCTGAATCTGAAGTCTTGTGCCAGCTCTGAATTTGCTTCTTTCTCCTCTTCCTTTCTATCACATTGTTGTGACTTTTTAAAGGTAGAGCTCTTATCAACGTATTCTGCATTCTGTGTTTCCTTCTCATCTGGTAATTTCTCATGCTTTGACACTGAGTGACCGACCCTTATTCTTCTTAATGTGTCTGCCTTTGCTTTTAATCTGCTATCTATTTCTGTATCAGATAGTTCAGAAATGGTAATGTAAGTGGCACTGTGAAATGCATCAGACGTTTCTTTATCTTGATGCATGTTTGTTATATTATTTCTAGCATTGCATTCTAGTTCCTCACTTTCACTTAAGTCATGTGTAACATTAAGCATCAGTGGTTTATTTTCCTTCAGATTTACACTTTCTGTACTCACTTGAATTTTTATGGCTTTTAATTCTTCACTGCATTTATGCATATCGCTTCCCAGGGAAATTAGTAAATGGACATTTGACAACTCCAGAACAAGTTGCAAAAAATCTTCTTGTTTCTGTGTATTTTCCCTTGGAAAGCACCTTTCTATTTTTGGTGTACTAGTTGGTAAATCCTCTCCATTTGAAAGTTGACTTTGGGAATTCTCTGAACTTTGCAGGACCGCCTGTATTTTCATTCTATTGTTCGATTCCATTTTGGGAGAGGAAATGAGCTTCTGCATAGATTTTGATATAGCTTCTTCTAAAGATGTCTTGTGCTTCAGAATATGAAGATCAAATGGTTTTCTACTATTTGGAGCATGAAATTCTGTAATAGCAATTTCTTTTGCTTGTGTAACCGGGTCTTTAAGAAATTCCTTACTCTTCCCATTTGTTTCTGCTAGTAAACAAGGTGTTTTTAGTTGATCGGTGTTAACCAGGAAGGATTTTTCTAGCTGAGGTAACATTTTTGGTGAAATATTTTTTAGTCCTTTATTTTCTTTGTCATACTCCTTTTCTTTTTTAGTAACACCCGAGATTCCTGTCTTCTCAGCAGCATCTGTATAATTGATTTTCTCTGTAGCTGGTGACTTATTTTTCTTCTGCAGAAAATGTCCACATTTTATTAAACCTGGCATGAATTTCACTAGTTGTTTTCTGGAATAATTTTTAACATAAGGCAGAATAAGCTTAGAAACAGAAATCAGATGCAGAGCTACATCTGATACATCTTTCCTTTCATGTAATTCTTTCTTCTCAGTGTTATTCTTGCATCCTAATTCATTCCTATTTTTTAAAGTGTGACATGCTGTGATTTGAAATACTTGTGAAGTTGGTGATTTTTTGGCTTTTAGAGATGGAACGTTAAGACTGAGTTTGTTTTTACTGTCTGGTGCTTTTCTTCTATTTTTCTGCCCTTTAATGGTAGATGAAAGAGGCACTGAGCTATATTCAGAATCTTGGTTTAATTCTGATGAAACAATTTGTTGCTGGCCTTGTGGTTTTACACTCCTTAGGTGTGGAATATCTTCAGCAACTAAATTTGGATTCAGAGTTAAAACTAGAAATCCAGCATTCTTAAAAATAATATCTTGCCTCTTAGTTGAATATTTAATCTTGTTTGAATTTATCAACCAAACAGAATGTTGGTCCTCACTGAAGTGTTCATCAGAGCCCAAGCTCTTGACTGAATATTGTGCCTCAACAACCGATGGAACTTCAACAAAATGTTGGTTCCTCTCCAAATCCTGGGACTGAAATGAGTCTTGTGCGCTGCTAGAAAATGGCTCCCTCATAGCATCTTGAGGCTGGGCAAAGTCGCTGGCCTCGATAAAAGGCTGGCTGCTGATTGATTCTTGGTTATGATTTATACTAGTAAATTGGACTTCATAAAGACCTCGATTCTGAATAGTATTTTGTCCTGGAAAAGAATCCTGTGCTTGGACAGAAATAACCATTCCAACAGAAGGTTGATTCTGATTCAAGGACTCTTGAGATTTTGAGCACTGATAAGTAGTTTTGCTCTCTAACTTAGCTTTTGGTTTTGAAGAAATTTGATTTCTCACATTTTCTTCCAGAAGTCTAACTTGATCCCTAGAAAGAAAGAAATGGGCAGGAAGGCAAGGTGCCACATCTAGGTCTTCATTTTCTACAGTGAATCTAGAAGCTGAAAAGCTAAGATCAGACGAAAATTCTGAATTTTTGTTTTTGTTGGTTTTCATCATTGAAAATAATTTCTTGGAAGAAAATTGTATTGTTTCATATTCACATTGTATTGTTTCATATTCATTGTATTGTTTCATATTCATTGGATGCTCTGTATGGCTTAGACACATTTTCTCTACTTCTGAATGAAACAATGACAAAGATGAGCTGACTCCATTTGAAGATGGCATATGACTTTCACTAGAGTGACTTACTTGATCTTCACTTTCACTAGTACCTGACCATATTATTTCACGTGTTAATAAAATTCTATCTTCAAAGTTACATTCCTTTTCTTCACATGTAAGTAATGAAGTAATTCTTTTTTCTGAAAAGGTGCCAACTCTGAAATATAAGAAAACAGTGTGCAAATGAATCCTAGGATATATTTCATATAATAATTACCTTCCAGATTCAAGAAAATGCTACATAGTATATGTAAAGAGATTAGTATAGAGACAAATTGAAAAACCATTATCCACATTACAAAACAATTCATTACCTAGTTCTTTTTACTTAACAAACTAATCAACTGAAAAAGTGCAGTAAATCAATTATATATCTCAGAGAATATACCTCAGCATCTCTAAAAGTCTATTTTTGAAAGGAGTGGGTCAAAGTTGCTGGATTAAGATTATATTATTTTACAAGGAATACCTTTTCTGTTCTCTACATGAAAGTTTTCACAAAAAGAAAACATTCTTATGAAAATGTAACAGAAGAATACCAATAGTATAAACTAGCTGTCTATAGATAAAGCCAGATTATCTTAACAGTTCTTTGGGATCAACAGAAAAGCCTACATTTTAGGGAAACATGTCTCAGTACAACATTGGGCTGGAGTAAGGATAATGAATGATGTGAACTTGCCAACATCCATACACTCAAATGATTAGTCTCAGTCTAAGTTCAACAGCATCAGGATCATCTGGTGTGATGGTTAATTTTATTTGTCAATTTGGCTGGGCAATGATGCCCAGATATAAGATCAAACACTATTCTGGATGTCTCTCTGAGGTGTTTTGGATGAGATTAACATTTATATCAGTGAACTATGAGAAAAACAGATTGTTCTTCCTAATGTGGGTGGGCATGACCCAATTAGTTAAAGGCCTGGATAGAACAAAGACTGACACCTCAAGCCCCTGACATACTCCAACACGAGGAAATTCTGCCAGCAGACAGCCTTTTGACTTAATCTGCAGATTTTAGATTTGCCAGTCACCATAATTGCGAGACAATTCTTCAAAATAAATGTCTTACTCTCTCTATGTATGTATGTGTGTGTATATATATATATATACACACATATTTCTACTGGTTCTGTTTCTCTGGAGAACCCTGACAAGACACCTGGAAACTTATTTGAGCATATTCTTTGGTCCCATCCAAGCCCTGTGGAATCTGAAGTTTTGGAAGTGGGGTCCAGAAATCTGAGCGTTAATAAGCTCTCCAGCTGATTCTGATATGTGATGAATTTCGATAGTCACTGTTTGATGGATCAGCCTAAAATCAAAAACTGAAATGTACATAAACGAGGTCAGATAATTCTAGTAGCTTTTTGTTTGGGGAGCACAGATTATCTCATACTTTACTGTAAGTGTGACTTTATTTTTAAATAACTCAATCAAAGTGGTGAAGGCAGTATATGAAATCTATCATGATCTACCCAACTGCGAAAATTATTTGTGCTAAATGATTACTTAGAGAACTGATAAATAAAAATGAAATGCTAAGTCCCACAGTTGACTGAATGGACCTCCACTTGGCCAAGGAGACCCCAAGGAAACCTTAAAAAATGAATTCCTGACCATGATGGGATGGGAGGTTGAACGGCCCTTATTCTGCCACCTTCCTCCCTCAGTATCATTAGGCTTTCTTTCCTAAGGGTAAACAGAGCCGCCCTTTGGAAAGCCTTGCTCCACCCTTGATATCAACCAATGATCTGATGCTGCCTCTCACTTTCACTTTCAATAAAACAACCAGCTAGCATTCCTTCCTGAGAAGAGACCCCCAACCACAGAGTGGTTCTGGCCAGTCTAGGGAGGATGTGCAGTGGGGCTTTTCATGTCCCCTGCTTCACATTTTGATGTCAGAGGGCCAAAAACTCCACCCTCAGACAATGCCAAAGCTGCCATTTTTTGAACATGAGTTCCATGGAGAGAAATGAAGCTCAGTTGCTCATGTGGACATTTCTCCTTTCATAAATATTCATGACTCTTCTTCCTCCTATGGACTATGAGTATTAGCCACCTCATTCAGCAGGATTTCCTGTCTTATTCTTTATGCCCTCCAATGACCTGTTTCTGGCTTCTGACAGGAGACTATGCTTCCCAGTCTGTCAGAAAGGATACCCTGCAGGCTGCAACCCTTTATGAACACCATCATTCTTTCCAGAAGTATGAATACCATCATTCTTCAGTTGATACAATGAAATCTCATTAATCTGGATTTGGATAATTAAAATTTGGGGTATTTTAGGCCAGATTAATGATTACGTTTTTTCACACATAACACAAAAATATTAGGTAAATATTTAAAATATGTTAGTTTTCAAGTTCTCTCCATTTTTAGAGCACTTATTAACCTCTAATATATAGGCTATTTTATGGGCTGAATGGTGTTTCTCTAAGATTCATATGTGGAAGTTCTAACCCCAGTAACTCAAAATGTGACCATATTTGTAGACGTGGCCTTTAAATAGATTATTAAAGTTAAATGAGGTCATATGGGTGGGCCTTAATCCATATTTGGAGATAAGGCCATCAAAAGGTGATTAATTTAACTGATGTGTTTATTTGGAGTAGAGCTCTAATCCAGTATGAGTGGTGCCCTTGTAAGAAGAGGAAATTTGGACACAGAGACACCAGGGACACGCACATACAGAGAAAAGAGCATGTGATGCACATGTATATTTATTGCAGCACTATTTACAACAGCAAAGACTTAGAACCAACGCAAATGCCCATCAATGATAGACTGGGTAAAGAAAATGTGGTACATATACACCATGGGATACTATGCAACCATAAAAAAATGAGTTCATGTCCTTTGCAGGGTCATGGATGAAGCTGGAAGTCATCATTCTCAGCAAACTAACACAGGAACTGAAAACCAAACACTTCATGTTCTCACTCATAAGCGGGAGTTGAAAAATGAGAACACATGGACACAGGGAAGGGAACATCACACACTGGGGCCTGTTGGGAGGTGGGGACTAGGGGAGGGAGAGCCTTAGAACAAATACCTAATGCATGCGGGGCTTAAAATCTAGATGATGGGTTGATAGGTACAGCAAACCGCCATGGCACATGTATACCTCTGTAACAAACCTGCACATTCTGCACATGTATCCAGGAACTTAAAAGTCAAATTAAAAAAAAGAAGAGAAAAGACCATGTGAGGACACAGCAAGAAAGTGGCCGTCTGCAAGTCAAGGAGAGACACCTCAGGAGAAACAGAGCCTTTCAGCCTCCAGAACCATGAGAAAACACATTTCTGTTTTTTAATGCCACCTAATTTGTGGTGCTTTGTTAATAGCAGCCCCAGCAATCTAATATAGGCTGTATACACATCTTTGTTATCTACCCATTACTTTTAGTGTGTGATCTTTGGTAGTAAGGCCTGTTCTTCAACTAAGACATGATGTCTACTCTCCAACACCTATTCTACCTCAGATTATTAAGCACAGTAGCACATAGTAATCCCATTTCTAAGTGATTAGTTTAGGAATGGGCATGATCGAATCCTAACATAAGAAAATGCTGAAGCAGACCGGGTGGGGTGGCTCATGCCTGTAATCCCAGGACTTTGGGAGGCCGAAGCAAGTGGGTCACTTGATGTCAGGAGTTTGAAACCAGCCTAGCCAACATGGTGAAACCCCAACTCTACTAAAAATACAAAACTTAGCCGGGCATGGTGGCACGCACCTGTAGTCCCAGCTCAGGCAGTCCTGTAATCCCAACTCCGGAGGCAGAGGCTGAGGCAGGAGAGTCACTTGAACCCAGGAGGTGGAGGTTGCAGTGAGCTGAGGTTGCGCCATTGCACTCCAGCCTGGGCAACAGAACGAGACTCCATATCCAAAAAAAAAAAAAAAAAAAAATCCCTGAAGCAAACCATTTCCCCAAATCTAAAAATCCAGTGTAAGATCAGCAGTTTGCCTTGGTCACTGAGACTATGCCTGGTCTGCACAGTTCTCTCTAGTTTCTCATGTCACCTCCTGGCATATCATTTATTTATTCTGTTGTCGTTTATTGTCTGACCCTCTCTCACCCTCACACAATGTTTTGTTTACTGCTGAGTCTCAAGGGCCTGCAGCGCTGCCTGACACAGAGCAGGCAATCAGCAAGTATTTGCCAAATGGCCATCTCCACCTCCAGGCTTCTGATTACTAACAACAAACTGACCCAGCTCTCCTCAATTTCAATGAGGAGAAAAAAAATCCCTCATGTACAAACCACTCATAGATGTGGCTGATTTTAGCGAAGACTTGGAGGCAGAAGCAGGATAGGGTTGATTACAGCCATGCAAAGGGCTCCCATTTAAACATTAGGTATGTCTCCCCATTTGCGAAATGTCCTTTGGTCCCTCCCGACCAAGGAATCTTAACTGGCTTTTGAGATTAAAAAAAATAAATAAATAACAATACACTCCCCAGTCTCCTAGGAAAAGAGGGACAGTTCTAGAGCCATGGTAACCAGTACCAGAACTGGTTGTCAATCAGCCAATGGCAATCCTGTAGTCACAGCAACAAATAAACACCAGGTCTGCTTTTATACTGTTTATGATAACTCTTCAGGAAATGCACTTCTGAAACCAACAAGTCAGTGACAAGTTTAGGCTTCGAAAGTCAGGTAGTTGCTGGCAGACTCTCACTAAAGCATACACCTATGGGTAAGGCCAAACCTAAAACAAACCATTCCCCCAAATCTGATAGAAGGCCAGCCATTTGCTTTGCTTGCTGAGACTATGCCTAGCCAGCTCGGCTCCCCGGATTTCAGAACTGAGTGGTGGTCTCATCCTTTACGCCACTCAGTCCGGAGCCTCACGCCACTACACTGGCACCTCCCTCTGTTCTGCTCTCTTCTTCCCTTTAGCTACCCCTTTCTCCTTTGTCCCATTTCATAAGCAAGATAAAATCCATCTCTAATGTAGTACACTTTAGCTATTCTGATGCTTAGGCTTCGGCCAATATAGCCTTCTATTTCAAAATAATGTATTTAGATGTTGCCCCACTGTTTCCAACAGCAAAGACATGGAACCAACCCAAATGTCCATTAATGATAGACTGGATAAAGAAAATGTGGTACATATACACCATGGAGTACTATGCAGCTATAAAGAGGAATGAGTTCATGTCCTTTGCAGGGACATGGATGAAGCTGGAAGCCATTATCCTCAGCAAACTAACAAAGGAACAGAAAACCAAACTCCGCATGTTCTCACTCATAGGTGGGAGCTGAACAATGAGAACACATGGGCACAGGGAGGGGAACATCACACACCAGGGCCTGCTGGGGGGTGCTGGATGAGGGGAGGGGACTTAGAGGATAGGTCAATAGGTGCAGCAAACCACCACGCCACACGTACACCTATGTAACAAACCTACATGTTCTTCACAGGTATCCTGGGTTTCTTTTTAGAATAAATTTTTAAAAAATTAAATGCAATAACATTATTTGAAGGTGTCAATGGTAGAAAAACAAAAGATGCTGTTCCCAAAATAGTTCTTTTCCCCTCCAAAAATTCATATTATTTCTTTTTTTCTCTCTCTCTCTCTCCCTCTCTCTCTCTCCGTTTTGAGCCGGAGGAGTCTTGCTCTGTCACCCAGGCTGGAGTGCAATGGCAGGATCTCGTCTCACTGCAGCCTCCACCTCCTGGGTTCAAAGCATTCCCAGCCTCCTGAGTAGCTGTGATTACAGGCGCATGCCACCACACCTGGCTAATCTTTGTATTTTTAGTAGAGATGAGGTTTCAGCATGTTGACCAGGCTGGTCTTGAACTACTGACCTCAAGTGATCCGCCCACCTCAGCCTCGAAAAGTGCTGAGATTACAGGTGTGAGCCACCATGTTGCACATAGTATTTCAACTAATCTTCATGATATTCCTAAGAAGTAATTATTCCAATTCTTAGTTTGAAAATTAAAAAAAAAAAAAAAAAAAAAGGAGGTATAGTGAGTTTAAGTCATTAGCCTGAGGCCATGCCATCATTAAGAGGCAGAGCTACAGGGCCAGGCGCAGTGGCTCACACTTGTAATCCAAGCACTCTGGGAGGCTGAGGCGGGCGGATCACCCAAGGTCAGGAGTTCGAGACCAGCCTGGCTAACATGGTGAAACCCTGTCTCTACTAAAAAAAAACAAAAATTAGCCAGGTCTGATGGTGGGTGCCTGTAATACCAGGTAGCATGGAGGCTGAGGCAGGAGAATCGCTTGAGTCCGGGAGGCAGAGGTTGCAGTGAGCCAAGAACACGCTATTGGACTCCAGCCTTGGCAACAAGAGCAAAACTCTGTCTCAAAAAATAAATAAATAAATAAAGAGGAAGAACAATGATATAAAGCTAGACCTGTTTTAAATTCAAATATTGTGTTTTTTCATCATAATATGCTGGTGCCACAGGAGCCACGTCTTTTCTCTAATCCTTTTTCTTCAACACCACCCCAAACGTCCTCAATTAATTTCCCTTAATGCCCCCTAGAAAGGTGCTACCCAAGGATTAACTCCTGTCTAGGCAGGATGGGAATAACAGGATACAGGGATGGAAAATCTTTAATGTGTCCTTTCTGGAGGACACTTTGAAAAAAGTTCTGTCTCTCTCTCTCTCTCTCTCTCTCTTTTTTTTTTTTTTTTTTTTTTTTTTGAGACAGAGTTTTGCTATTGTTGCCAAGGCTGGCATGCAATGACATGATCTTAGTTCACTGCAACATTTGCCTCCCAGATTCAAGTGATTCCTCTGCCTTAGCCTCCATAGTAGCTATTACAGGCACCCATCATCATGCCCACTAATTTTTTATATTACTAGTAGAGATGGGCTTCCACCATGCTGGCCAGGCTGGTCTCGAACTCCTGACCTCAGAAAGGACAGGAGTTTCTTCAGATTCTGAAGCCGAAAATCCTTTTTTCCTCCATTTCTTCTTGTGAATTCCTCTTGCCTGTTAATGCTCTGGTTTTGAATTACATGTGAACATTAGCCCAAAAAGGAAACAGGTCACCACATGCACCTAACCCCTGTAATATCTCAAATGCTGACTCTTGGTCTGTCCAGTTGGACTTAACTCTGTCTGCACTACCGACTTGCTGTAGCTTGTGCTGGCATTCCTGTTCCCAACCAGGCCTGACAAGGGTTCTACCTACTCACACCTCTGGACATGGTTACAGCTTCCCTGAGAACTAGAGTTCCTAGTTCCGAATACAAAAATATCATAACCAGATTAAATGAATAAAGCCCTTTTATACCTGACAAATGAGAGAAATTAGATGAAGATCAAGTAATCCTCTGATTCACACAGAGACCAGTCACACAAGTGACTAGTGACCTAACTGAAACACAAAACTGTGCCACTCTTATGTGTAACCACTGCTAAGGGTTATTATCTGCAGAACCGAATCCAGACTTTTACACATGGTGTAGAAAGCCCTCCACAACCTGACTCCTACCTACTTCTTCACATTCATCTTCCACTACTTCCTAATTCAACTTCAACATTCCAGCAACTCTGAAATAATAGTAATTTCTTGCACATTGCTGCTGTGTCTGCTCATGTCCTGGAATGTCTTTCTTATCCTCCTAAATATGTCTCCTTTTCGTCCTAATGTTCATTCATCCTTTAAAATTCAGCTCCAGCATAACATTCTTCGTGAAGCCGTTCCCAACACCCTAGGCTGACTTAGGTACCTAGCTCCTAAATGTTCTAATATTTCTGTCTCTATGTCACCATATCGCAAGGCAATTATCCTTTATGTACACATCTCCACAAGAATATAAGCTCCTTGAGAACAGAGACTATCTTATGGTTTGAAGCTCAGTGTCGGTGTCCACTAGCTAGTAGATATCTAATAACTGTTGAATGGATTTCAATTAAAACAACTGAAATATTTATAGCAACTAGAGTAGGGATTATGTCAGTATTTAATCCCTTGCACTGAGAGAACTTTCCAATTCTGATAAATTCTGATTTTACAGGCTGGGCGCAGTGGCTCAAGCCTGTAATCCCAGCACTTTGGGAGGCCGAGGCGGGTGGATCACGAGGTCAAGAGATCGAGACCATCCTGGTCAACATGGTGAAACCCCGTCTCTACTAAAAATACAAAAAAATTAGCTGGGCGTGGTGGCGCGTGCCTGTAATCCCAGCTACTCAGGAGGCTGAGGCAGGAGAATTGCCTGAGCCCAGGAGGCGGAGGTTGCGGTGAGCTGAGATCGCGCCATTGCACTCCAGCCTGGGTAACAAGAGCAAAACTCCGTCTCAAAAAAAAAAAAAAAATTCTGATTTTACAAACTCCTTTCATGTCGCTCATGCAGCACCTAGCTCAGTGTTTGTTTGGTCCACAGTAAGTGCTAAAAAAATGTCTTTTCAATTGAATTGTAAGAATGGATGTGGTGGAGAGAGAGTTAGAGTAAGAAAGCAAGTCACTGATCCTCTTCAAGCCTTATTTTCCTCATCTGTAAAGCAATAATAATACTATCTACCTTGGAGGATAATTTCAATAATACACAAAAAGCCCTTAACACAGCTTGGAGCATAGCAACCATTTAAAGTAAATGTTAGACTGAATCACAATGTTGAACAGCTAGGAGAACCCTTCTCTGAAAATCAGAAGTAAAGGCAATTTTGAATAGAACACAACCAACCTATTTCATTTAGCTTCAAAATATATATGTAATATATCACATACCTTTCTTCTGAAGATGAGGTAATAACTGACCAATTCTCTGGAGCTGAATAGGAATAAAAAAGTGACAGTATCAATGAAAAAAGCTCAGGTTAAACAAGTTTTATATTAAAATATGAAGTTGTATAATATTTACCAAATGTCATGCTCTTCAGGCAACAGTCTTCCCTCTATTTTAATGGAAAAAATTGTTAGAGAAGTAATGCTGGTATCAAAGTTCACAAATTTTATAAATTATTCTTATGTGTGATTTTGAAAAACAGGGAAAGGGAAATCAACCATTTGTTCTTACCTCCTGGACATCTGAACTACCCTTTTCAGGAAGTGTGGGATTCTTCCAAAAGTATGCACAAGTTTTCATGAATATTATCTCAAAAATAATTCCTAGGAAAATTATAAAGAAAATTGCCATCCAATCATTTTGAATAATCCAGGACTCTAGAAAGTCCCATAATGTAAAAAATGTATTATCTTCCAGCTCACCCGCTACCCCTTTTTTAAAGGAATAATATTGCTTTGACATTTTAATGTAATATGTGAAAGAGACTGGTGTCTCATTCAGAAGTCCTTGATTTCAGAGGCCCTGAAATATAGAAAGTTGGTATGCCCAACTCATAACCATGTGTAAATTCAGCCAGTGCTGCTTGGGGTCTTATCAAGGGCAGCAGTGATTGCTCTGGGCCTAAGTTAAGTGAGGTACGTGTCATAGTGGGTATTTAACTGAGCTCATATCAACTTACTTTAGCAATAATGGAAGTTCATAGGTAAGAAATGTACAGTGCTATGAGTAGTTTTTTACTAAAATTCAAAAAATTATATTCTCTTAACTTCATAGAAAGCAACATAATTCTATCATGGATTGCCACTGTCTTATTATAAATATAAAATAAATTTGAATTGGTGGAAAGGATTTGATATAACCATTTCTACTAACACCAGCAATGGTGTATTTTATGCTTCTCTGTGGTCAGGAAAATATAGTCCTTTCTTGAATGAATATAGATAAGGTTGACAGATTTAGCAAATAAAAACATTAGATGCCCAATTTAATTTGAATTTCAGAGAAATGTCAAGTAATTTTTTTTAGTCTAAGTATGTCTCATTGCGACTATGGAGAATGTATGATGACTTGTCTTTTATGGGCCTGATTTTTTTCTTAAAATAGAACACATTTCATATTTCTTTTTGCTAGCAGGGGTCTGTTGGCACCATTCCCCTTCAGCAATCTATTGATATGCTGAAAGCTAACATGTCTTTGGAATAACCTCCTGGTGAATTTCCTTTTCACTCTGTCTACAGTGATTCCAAGGAGCTGCTTGTGAAGTGCTTTCTGATGTCAGAATTAAGGGTGGGGCAGAGGCAGATGTCAGTACAGTACTGCTCACTCTCTGTCAAAGTCTAGTGGGGAGGCCTGGAAGCTTGCTGAGCAAATACAATTTTAATCACAAGAAGACAGGATAGTCTAGACTAGTTATGAAAATGTTAACACTACCTTGGGTTTAGAGTCCTCGTCCTTTGAAGGTGTAATTAGTTAATACTTCCTTTGCAGATGTAATTCATTAGTGCTTCACTTTTTTTTGGTTTTGTTTTTAGTACTTCACTTATCCAAGGTACGTTGAGCAAAGAAGTAGTATTCATTACACCGAAGGAAACAGTTCAGGCCCCTTTTGTCATATCAATTTAAATAAGTGCAACAAAGATTTACAAATTCAGGTGCGTGAAGCGGCTCATGCCTGTAATCCTAGCACTTTGGGAAGCTGAGGTAGGTGGATAGCTTGAGCCCAGGAGTTTGAGACCAATACTAGGCAACATAAGTGGACCCCTGTCTTTACCAAAAATTTAAAAATTAGCCAGGCGTGGTGGTGTGCATCTCTAGTTAGTCTCAGCTACTCGGGAGGCTGAGATGGGAGGACTGCCTGAGCCTGGGATGTGAAGGCTGCAGTGAGCCATGATCCCGCCACTGCACTCCCATGATGACAGAGTGAGACACTGTCTCAAAAAAAAAAAAAAAAAATCAGCTTTTACTGTTGCTGAACATTAAAACTCATGAGATCAATGACATTCTAAATGTTGGAATTTACAGTCTTCCAGTCTCCTAGATCACATGTACAGGTATTTATAATCTTTATTTAAGTATAACTCTTATCTTGAGTTTTGTCTTTGCAAAGAATGGCCCTTTAGAATTCCTCTGGATTTTTCTAGCACTATGGTAAAGTACACCTTCCCTGTACTCCCCTCCCCACAAGGACAGTTGAGGTTATTTTAATCTCCTGGGTTTCCCTATAAAATTTAAGCAGCTGGAAAAATACTCCGTTACTCTCACCTACTTGCAGAAAATCTCTAAATCATTTCATGATAACTATCTTAAAAGGGATTCACTGTTTCAACACTTTCTTCTCTAGTTCCTTAGATCTTTCCAAGCTTTATGGCACTGAATCCCTAATTAGTATTCCACCCAAGAGCTCTTAAAGAACTGTAAAGGAAGTGCTGCATACCACTCCTGCTGATGCTAAGGTTTACACAGAGGTAAGCATTATCCCTCTCCAGGGCTTTGTCATGTTTGTTAGTTATGCACTTGCTACTAACAAAAGCATAATTATCTGTTTTTCAGCATAAATGCTTCTGTCCCTTGGAATAGAAACCTCTTAGAACAATGTCAAGTGAACAGCATCAGAAATAAATACAAAGCAAGATCCACTTGCTTAGAGAGTAAAAAGAAAAAAATATCTTAGAAAGTCTATTACAAACCGTAATACAAAATAGACAGTACAAGAAAACACAAAAAAAATTCTATTAACTTTTTTTTTTAACTTCCTATTATATTTACCAGTGTTACCATCTTTGAACTATTTGGACATTATGAACTTCATTTTTGTTTTTTACATAATAGGAAAAAGTCCCAATATTAGATCTATAAAATAGTAACATGAAGCCAGAGATTGTTCAAAATTGTTAGAAACTCTTAGTTTAATATCTTAGTTTAATACATTTATTGAATAGTAAATGTGTAAAGCACTGAACGAGGAACCAAAACATGCTTTAACACGTTTTGTTAAGATGAAGAAAATAGTCCCAAACTTGAAGGAATTTGTAATGTGAGATGGAGATATGAATAACTTAATAAGAAGGTAGAGTGTGATTAACAAAGAAATGAGGAAGATATCACAGGAGTTTGAGGAGAGATACTTGGTTTGGGGTAATTTCAAGGAAAGCTGTAAAGGGAGGGGGGGGAATTTGAAGGACCTTAAAGAATGAGTAGGACTTGGAAACAGGCAAAGATGAACAAAGAAAGTAGGAAGGAGAGTCAGAAATACTTCTTCCATTTTATAAACGTTGACATAGTCCATGTTAATTATAGCACTGTTTACACGTTTGAAATATGGGAAAAGAAGGCTAAAATGTTGATAGAGCCCTACCGTGAAGCCACCGTCAGAGACCGAACAGTTTTTAAGTTGAAAGTATCAACTGGTGTATCAAAAGAAGGAGACAATAAAATAGGAAAATCAATTAGGCTACTGCAGTGATAGATGAGAATTGATAAGGGTCTAAATTAGAGTGATGGTAGTGTAAAAAGAAGAGTTAGAGACTGAAACCCAGGATTTGTTAACTGAGAGAAAGCACATGGCTGAGTGTGGTAGCTCATGCCTGTAATCCCAGCTGAGATGGGTTGTTTCAGTCCTGGAGTTCGAGACCAGCGGGGCAACAAAGCAGGACCCCCATTAAAATATTTGAGACCTTGTCTCTACAAAAATTTTAAAAAGCCAGGTGCAGTGGCAGGTGCCTGTAGACCCAGCTACTTGAGAGACTGAGGTGGGAGGATCCCTTGAGGCCAGAAGTCGAAGGTTGCAATGGGGTATGGTAACACCATTGCATTCCAGCCTGGGTGACAGAGTGAAAGCCTATCTCAAAAAAATGAAACTAGGCTGGGTGCGGTGGCTCACCCCTATAATCCCAGCACTTTGGGAGGCGGAGGTAGGCGGATCACTTGAGGTCAGGAATTCAAGACCAACATGGCTAAATCCTGTCTCTACTAAAAATACAAAAATTAGCCCAGTGTGGTGGCACACGCCTATAATTCTGGCTACTCAGGAGGCTGAGGAACAAGAATCACTTGAATCCCGGAAGCAGAGGTTGTAGTGAGCTTAGATCGCACCACTGCACTCCAGTCTCAAAAACAAATAAAACAACAACAACAACAAACTAAAATAATAAAAGAAAGCAAATGGATCAAGGAGGGGGATGGAAGAGTTAATGGTGAGGGAGAAAGGACTTACAGATAATCCCAAATCTGGTCTGTCCCAACATGGGCACTATTGACATTTTGGACAGGATAGTTCTTTCTGTAGCTGCAGTCCTGTGTATTGTAGGATGCTTAGCAACATCCCTACCTTCTACCTACAGAATGCTAGTGGCACCCCAACCCTGGTCATGACAATCAAAAATATTTCTAGACATTACTAATGTCCCCAGTCCCCAGGCTGCAGACCAGGACTGGTCTGTGGCCCACCAGGAACCAAGAGTGGACAAGCAAGCATTACTGCCTGAGCTCCACCTCCTGTCAGATCAGCTGTGGTATAAGGTTCTTATAGGAGCAGGGAATGTTATTGTGAACTGTGCACATGGGGGATCTATAGGTTGCAGGCTTCTTATGAGAATCTAATGACTGATGATCTGGGGTGGCACGGTTTCAACTAGAAAACAACCCCACCCCTGCCACTCCCACCCCAGTCAGGTTCAAAAATTGTCTTCCATGAAATGGGTGCCTGATGCCAAAAAAGTTGGGGACCACTGCCCTAAGAGGTAAAGGTCCCCCACCAGGTGGGAAACATTAGTCTAGGTGAGTGGTTATCAGGCAGGAGAATAGGGTCTGGAGGCAGGAAACCAAGACCAATTCACCCTGACTTCCTACAACTAAATTAATAGGAAAATCCCAACTTTCCATGCCTAAGTAACAAAAGGACCAGAAGCTACTCCCTTTGCCAATCCCCACTTTTCTTTGCAGCAGATGGAAAACTGAAAGTACCTCTGATTTGTTGCATAGGAGTGTAACTTTGTAACTTCACTTCAGTCTCTGACCCATTGCTTTCTGCTTTCTGCAACTAATCCTACTGATTGTGGGCCACCATTTACACGGGGTGAACACCAAGTAGCCAACGGGAAACCTCTAGGAGGTGTTTGGACCTGAGAAGATTCCTCATCCAGGGTTCTTGAGCCACTGCTCGGGCCGCTCCCACATTGTGGAATGTTCTATCATATTCAATAAAACTCTGTTTTCATTACTTCATTCTTTCCTCGCTTTGCTGTGCATTTTGTGCAATTCTTTATTCAAAACGTTAAGAACCTGGACAACTTGCAGTCAAGACCCTCTACCGGTAACAGTTATGCTATTAATCAGGGCCTATCAGAAGACAGCCAGAACGGCTCTTTGACTATAATCTCAAACTTGAAGGGGCTGAACATTTTCCTGCAAGATGTGGCATATCTATCCAGGACAGCGGATGTAACCTTTTTTAAAAAAATGTGTTTCAGATTTAGATATATCATTTGTATCTTTCTCCAGGAGTTACATGCTCCCCAAATATGGCTAGCTACACAGTCTTCAAATGTCAAGCCATTACATCAATAAACTACACTAGTTTCTTACAGACAACTCAGGGGAAAGATCAACTTTAAATGATCATCTATCTACATTACTCCTATATTTAATATAGTATCTTTGGTCATCATATTATGCCTATAGTTTAATTTTGCAAACTTAAATACTAGACATTGTCTAGCCTGGTTAGGAGGCTTTCGAATATTGTGTTGTACCTTAACATTATGGTCTGCTTTGTAGTAAGCTGTCCTTTGTTTTCCTTTTCCCATTTATTTTATTTCTGGTTAACAATACTCATGTTCCCCAATGACTCATAGTTGTTAATAGACCAGCGATTCTATCTTCTTGATAGCTTTGGATATTTTTTATGTTTATAATCTTTTGATACTAGTAGTGTTTTAAAATTTCAAATGTTAAGTATTGTTTAGTTACACAAGGTTCTTAAAAATTTAGGTTCAGGAAATGACTTAGTCAAAAAGTAACTATTATACAGAGTAACAGGAATTTTAAATTTACAGTTATACATCACTTCATTCTATAATGTGAAAGGTTTGGACATTACCTAGGTTTTCATTCATTTAGAAAAATAATATTTTAAATCTACTGATTCCACCTGGGCAGGAGGACTAAGGGGCCTCAAAAATCTGCAAGCTGCCCAGGCCACTTGAGGCTGTTTCAATGACCTAACATTAAGAGCAGTAGGGAGGATATGCAAAAGATTTACTATAAAAAAAACATTTATTACTACAAACTTTTATTTAACATCAGCCTCATTACCTTTTGTGAACACTACAGGAAATACAGAAACTATGTTTTTATATATAACTCAACACCATTCAAGCTTGAGATGGGGAGATAGCTGAACTTCCCAATGCAACATTAAGTGCTCCTAATTGCCTAGATATAGCAAAGATGTTAGTACCAAAATTTAGCAATTATTTCTTTTTAATCAGAGTGGTCTACATGTTGATTTTACACATTATGTTTTTTGTTTTTGTTTTTTTGAGACAGAGTCTCACTCTTTGTCACCCAGGCTGGTGTGCAGTGGTACACTCTGGGCTCACTACAGCCCCCACTTCCTGGGTTCAAGTGATTCTTCCCCCTCATCCTTCAAGTAGCTGGGACTACAGACATGCACCACACTTGGCTAATTTCTGTATTTTTAGTAGAGACGAGGTTTTGACACGTTGGCCAGGCTGGTCTCAAACTCCTGGCCTCAAGTGATCTGCCTGCCTTGGCCTCCCAAAATGCTTGGATTACAGGCGTGAGCCATGGTGCCCAGCCTCACACATGATATTGTAAGTTCCAAGTTTTTACTCATTTTTACAAACCCAATGAGGTTTGCTTGTAATAAGCCTGCAGTGGACACTTCTTGAATTAAAGATATTTCATTCTAAAAAGTCTTCAGGGTCCCTATATTTGAAACATATGTCCACTCCTACCCCTTCAGTGAGATTCATTAAAAGATTAGATGAAAAGATGTGTACATTTTATAAATCTGACTAGATTAACCCTAATAAAGTTTTATTTTCCTTTACTGAAGATGACATTGCTCTGAAAAATTTCTCAGTTGTGTATCAATAAGACAAAAGCACATCTGTAACAAAATTCAAATGTTTAATTTTTTTCAAAACTTAACTATACTAATGAAAATAAATTATATTTAGACCACCTTCGATATTTTTACATCATCTTTATACAACTATAACAGTGCTTTCAAAAGACATTTTGTGACGGACATTAATTTCACATTTAAAACGTGTTTCAAAAATAAGGGAACATTAAAGAACATCAAATTAGTCTGAAATATATCTCAATGCTGGGGCATATTGTTCTTTATCAAATTAACTGTATGTGTATTCAAAATAATATGGCTTTTAACTAATGACATTTCTTGTCCATTTCAGTAATTTCTTGGATCCAAAACAAAATCTGTGTATTTATTTCTTTGAAAACATCATTTGTTGACCGTCCTTTCACTGCCATGGAATGATTTGCCTTCTCAATCCAGTGGATTTTATGGGGAGCTTGCATTTTCTGTGCCACTTTCTCCAACAAGTTCTAAAGAAAAAAAGAAGAGGATACTAGACTAATGTTCTATTGATATTTAATAAAAGGTCCTCTCTCCTCCGCCTATACTGGCATTCATTCACAAGTATTCATTAAATGCTTTCTCAGAGACAACGTTCTAGGCAACAGAATGTGCGAGGAAATGTCCACGAACATGGCAGTCCACTTCTCTTAGCTACAGCAATACCACATATCAAGCATTCATTACTGATAATAAAATGTTAAATCAATTGGAGTAAAAAGTTTATTTTCCCCAAAAAATCTTTTTCCCAAGTAAATTATACACTCTGGGGAATACGGAATTGTTTGATAATATTGGGCTAATATTTAGTAATGTGTAGACATTGCCAACCCTTTCTCAAGAGTCAATTTTATAACAAATAATCTGCCTGAATGTTGAAATGATTTAAAAAAATGTACAGCCTAGTAATCCCCAAATCAGAAGATTCAGATATTAATCCATCATTTCCCAAATAAGGGTCATATCTATCAGGGAGACAAATTTTGTCACTGTATTTCTATTTTTAGGTTCTCAAAAGCAACAGGGTAACCAAAACACAAATCTAGTGTTAGTCAAAGAAGCAACTTTTAAAAGAGACTGTTGCAGGAAATATCTCGCTCCAAAGATATTTCTGCCTTTCATTCTCTTCCATTCACACAAACATTGAATTATAATTCACCTTTTCACACATTTCATCTGCTGAGCCTGACACAAACAGTACAGGCTCTTTTAAACGAAAGAGATCTTCATCTCTGAGTTTATGCTGCTGCTTTGGATGGTGCAGTGGATAAGAAATACATATGAGACCTCGAACAAAATCATCAGCGTCATCTGGCTCAATGTGACACATTACAGAAGCAGCTGCTCTTGAGCCCATTGAACGACCTAAAATCAATTAAAATTAAGTTCAGTTTGAAATATAAACTTTTACATAAAGTAGCAGTGATGGGTGGCAAATTGGATCTTTTACTGTTCATCATATCTGTTTACCAACAAATTAACTCCAAAAGATAGCAATTAACAAGATGCAATACCAGGCTGGGCACAGTGGCTCACATCTATAATCCCAGCACTTTGGGAGGCCTAGGCGGGCAGACTGCCTGAAGTCAAGAGTTCAAAACCAGCCTGACCAACATGGTGAAACCCCATCTCTACTAAAAATACAAAACTCAGTCAGGTGTGGTGGTGCGCACTTGTAGTCCCAGCTACTTGAGAGGCTGAGGCAGGAGAATCACTTGAACTGGGGAAGTGGAGGTTGCAGTGAGCCAAGATGGTGCCACTGCACTCCAGCCTGGGCAACAGAGCAAGACTCTGTCTCAATGACAACAAAAAACTAAAAACTGATCTTAAGTCAAATGTTAAAAAAAAAAAAAAAAAAAAAAAGGCAATTATTTTTCTGAAGAACACTTAAAAGGACAAGAACAATCCTTGTAAAGGAATCATCATATGTGAGAGATGAATAAAAGGAAAGAAGCTCAGATGATAATACATATACATAAGGTGCATATTTACTTTAAATATAAAAAGTGTTTTAACATTAAAAAGGTGACTTACCAAAACAACAACAATCCTTAAATTAGCTTCATATGATCAATTAATTCTCCATTACCTATTCCTATATTAAAATGAGTAATTAACAAGTATTCACAAGTATTACACTTACCTCCAAGAAAAACTCCTGCAAGTTTGTATTCTGATGTCTTTAGGTAATTCTACAAAAATAAAAAAATTATCAGTTCTTCACATATAAAATATTCCATTGGAAATGCAAGATATATTATTTCTCATCATTACTGAAATGTATGAAAATCTATGTAAAGATAATCAGAAAATCTTAAGGGATTCTTAAAAGAAGTAATCAGTCCTTCCTTTTCTGGTCATGCCTTCACTGTTAAATCACATGTTAGGTAATACAGGCAAGTATGTGAGTAAAAAGTCAATCTACCATTACTAAAATATTTAAGCACTAAACTTTTTTTTTTTTTTTTTTTTTTGAGACGGAGTTTTTTGCTCTTGTTACCCAGGCTGGAGTGCAATGGCACGATCTCAGCTCACCACAACCTCCGCCCCCAGGGTTCAGGTAATTCTCTTGCCTCAGCCTCCTGAGTAGCTGGGATTACAGGCACGTGCCACCATGCCCAGCTAATTTTTTGTATTTTTAGTAGAGACGGGGTTTCACCATGTTGACCAGGATGGTCTCAATCTCTCGACCTCGTGATCCACCCGCCTCAGCCTCCCAAAGTGCTGGGATTACAGGCTTGAGCCACCACGCCCGGCAGCACTAAACTATTTTTACAGAACAAATTATATTTTAAAAAGGCCAGTAAAGGCTTCCAACTAATAACAAATTTGATAGTGTTAATTAACATCTAAAGTTCTGAAAATCTTATTAGTAAGCTTGAAATTATTTAGATTGGGGTACCCAATCTTTTGGCTTCCCTGGACCACAGTGGAAGAAGAACTGTCTTGGGCCACACATAAAATACACTAATGATACCTGATGAGCTAAAAAAGGAAAAAATTGCAAAAAAAAAATCTCATGTTTTAAGTAAGTTTGCAAACTTGTGTTGGGCCACATTCAAAGCTGTCCTGGGCTACATGTAGCCCATGGGTTGGACAAGATGGATTCAAGGAAACTTTACTGTTATCCAGGGATTTTAAGCAACATATACAGAAAACAGTGTCATATTTGTATATGCATAGTATGGTAGATGAAATACTCTATCCAGGATACCAAAACTATATGCTAAAGTTACATAATTCCAGTGAGAAAAATCATTAAGTAGTTTAGAAGTTTCCTTACACTGCTTGGCAATCATGGAGGAACATTTATGATTTAAGCATTCATCTCCATGGAAACTGATGACAAGGGAAATCTGGCCACTGAAAAGCTTTCATGTACTGCTGAGTTTTCTAAGAATACGCTCAAAGATTTTTAAAATTAAACCAAATGACTACTAATACAATTTATCTTACATTTATTAAGTATTTCAAACAGAATTCTGTTATAATAAAGAAATTTTCTTACCAAAACTGATTTATATGCCTTAATTCTATGTACAATATTAAGGCCTTTGCAGGTAAATCTCAGGCAAAAAAACCCATGGGATGCAAGATGGGATGCCAGCGACATCAAATGAGGAAGATTCATATCTCCTGATGCTCCATGTGTAAGAATTATTCCATATGTTAAGCTCTTGTTAGGTACCAAACAAACGGCATCTAGTAATTTATTTCCAAAAGGTATTTTTAATTTAACCTGGAATTCAAGAGAATAAAGGGATCAAAAATTACTTTCTTGCCTATTAAGACAACTGAACAACTATATACATGTTTTCTCTGTGAGGCTCATAATTCAAGTCATAGCCTCCAAATAAAAAGCAGTCATATTAATAATAGTATTTAAGTGGTTACTGTGTCGGTGCTATTATAAGTGCTTTATATGTATTAACTTATTTAACCTTTCTAACAATTCTATGAGGCAAGTACTATCATCATCCCCATTTTATAGATAAGGCACTAAATAATCTATTTATAGATAATACTTGCCCAAGGTTATATAGCCACTAGCTAGGATTTAAACTCAGTCTGCTCTAGATTCCTCACTCTTAACCACTTATGCTATACTGCCTCCCACAGTGAAAGCTGAAAATAAGATTACTCTGAAGCCATATAATTACAAATAAATTAACAAAAAACCAGGAACCCTGAAGATGCAGAACATATGAAAATATTACCTCTGTATGACTCATTTTCACTGTTGAATAACAAACTTAAAGTGCATTTACATCTGAGAAGCAAAGGACATCTCCCTGAAAAGAAGATTCTATTGTGAAAGGTGAGTTGGCAGACATGGATATGACACAAAAAAGTATGAATGAACACATTCCGCAGCTAAAATAAACATTTAGAATTACTTCCCTAAAATCTGGTGTCTTTACATGTACATTATTCTATGGGCACTCAGAATTGGTTTAGAGGGCCAGGTGCAGGGTTGGCAGATGTTATAGAAGATGAAGCAAAGGTAATACTTTGACATGGAAACTGTAAGGTAATTCATATCAAAGTAGGATGCTGTATATTGGAAAAAATGATAAAGTAAAAATATATATATACATTTTTGTCAGAATCTTCATTCTAAACCAACTATCCTAACGTTAATTTTTCAGCATCTTACTAACCCATTTTCTTCATCATTATAGTTCCCAAGCCTTCCCACCCATACCTTGTCACGTAACTTTATAGTGCTGCCAGGAGACAGTGTATATATGTCTTTACCTTATTTGCTTTGGACTTGGCTATGTAACTTGTTTGAACTAATGGAATGTGGGTAGACATTTCAATGTGTGACTTCTGAGCTAAGGCATGGCAAACTTCCAGAAGCCCTCTTGAACTTTCGCCCTCAGTCATGAGAAAAACATGCTCTAGGTAGTTCTGCATTTTCAGCCTGGGTCTCAAAACGAAGACACATGGAACAGATCTGAACCCAAAACTGAAGTCTGAAGTCCAGATTAGTCTAACTAAAATCTAAACAACCACTGATCTGAAGATCCATGAGGATGAAATGTAAGCCACTGAAATTTTGGGGTTGTTACGTAGCATTCCTTCCTATGTTAAGAGCTTAGGGTCAACATCAGGATCTCCACTACTCACCCATTTTTTCCATTAACATTTACTTATTCATTCATTCAATAGGTAACAATAACATGGTTTAAAGTTCAAAAGGTACCAAGAATATGTAATGAAAAAGTCTCACTCATTCCACTTTTGACTTGTCATCAGATCACCTCTCCAAAAGTAACCAACATTACCTGCTTCTTACTTATCCTTCCAGATAGCACTGAACTTATTTTCACACAGGTGTAAGTATATGTAGAAGATAAATTCCTGGGAGAGGAATCACTGGGTCAAAGGGTTTGTTCATAATTTTTTACAGAGTATATTTTTCATAGAACTTCCTGAGGTGAATATATTTTTGAATAGGTATCATGTACACACGGTACATTTTAAAAATGTAAATAGAAATCAAAGGATTTATTTATAATTTTTTACAGAATTTTTCATAGACCTTCCTGAGGTGAATACATTTCATTTTTGAATAGGTATCGTGTGCACATGCTACGTTTTAAAACAAAATGCAAACAGAAGTTTCCTTACACTCTTCCCCCAGACTCCTCAAGTTCCTTTTCCTTCCTAGAAACCGCTATAACCAACTCACTATGTACCTTTCTCCATCTGTGTGTGTGTGAGAGCATGTAAAATTTTCTTATTTCAGTCTGGAGGGCGTTAGTCTGATCTGACTGCAGAAGTTTTGGAACTGAGTGGGAGAAGGGGGATGAGGACTTCAAGCTTGAGTGTCCCTGTCTTCATACATGGAGCCCCATAATTAACTATGCCCGGGATTCTCAGTTCAAAGATCCTCTGTTTTACTTTCACAAGAGAATAAGCCTCCATCCAGTCTTCTAACAAGGGGAAAGGCAGTCACCAACAGCGTGAAATGGGGAAGGGGATCTGGATATCCAATTGCTTCTCAGATTTCACCTAAATCATCTTTCTTTAAAGCTCCCCACACCGACCTCCTGCACCACCACTACCTTCATTCCCAGTACCACAGCTGTTCAATGCTGGCAGTTTGAAGATTCTGTGGTTAATACAGGGTTTGCTAAGGTAGCCGCGTTTTAGAGCCCACTATTCGATTGCCAGTGTTTCCTTTCCTATTCTCCCACTGTTGGGAGGTTTATTTTTTGTTCTTATTTTTAAAATCCCCTTAATGTAATTTTAGTAAAATTTCAGGAAAGAGTAAATTTAGATGCATGTACACAATCACTATCTTAGAATGCTTTTTTTTTTTTTTTTGGGACAGGTTCTTGCTCCGAGGCCCAGGCCTGAAAATTCAGTGGCACAATCATAGCTCACGGCATCCTCGAACTCCTGAGCTCAAACGATCCTCTTGTCTCAGCCTCTGGAGTGGGTGGGACTACAGACGCTCACCACCACACCCACTAATTTCTTAAAAATGTTTTTGTAGTTTCACAGGCTGTTCTCAAACTCCTGGGCTCAAGTGATCCCTGTGCCTTGGCCTCCCAAACCGTTGGGATGCCAAGGGGTGCGCCACCTTGCCCGGCCTGCTTTACTACTTTACAGACTTCACGATGAACAGTGTGTTCTTCACGGTTGGTGCACGCATACTGGTTTACTTCAGAAACACTGAAAATGCCCCGTAATACAATCCGCAACAAACCTGCTCTAGATCGCCTGAGTTTTGTTTTTGTTTGTTCCTTTTTTTGAGACGGAGTCTCGCTGTGTCACCTAGGCTGGAGTGCGGTGGCACAATCTCGAGTCACTGCAACCTCCACCTCCCGGGTTCAAGCGATTCTCCTGCCTCAGCCTCCCAAGTAGCTGGGATTACAGGTGCCCACCAACACACTCGGCTAACTTTTTTTGCATTTTTAGTAGAGACGGGGTTTCACCATGTTGGTCAGGCTGGTCTCGAACTCCTGACCTCAGGTGATCCGCCTGCCTCGGCCTCCCGAAGTGCTGAAATGACAGGCGTGAGCCACCGCACCCCGCCGCTGTCGTCTGGGTTTTCATTTCTGGCTTAGGTTCAGAGAGGGCCGGGTTTGGAGCCTGGCCCGGCCTCCGTGCCCTCAACGGCGACGGTTTAGATGGCCGGCCAGAGGGGCTGCGCCCGCGAAACGCCAGCGCCAGGGGCCGGGCCGCCGGCGGAGTTCCAGGACAAGTCCGTCTAAGAACGGCTGGGCGACCGCCTCTGACGCCGCGGAACGGAGACCCCGCGGCCCCTTCAACTTCCAGTTAAAAACGTTCGTGCCTGTTGGGCCCACAGCGTTACGCGGGTTATCGTGGGGCCAACAAAAGCGTTGAGTTCAGTCTCACGAGGGCTCCGTCAGCCACCGCGGCAAACTCGGAGCCAAAAGTCAACGCGGGTCTCCCGGGCGTGCGGGGCTCGGCGGCGCTCGGGCTCGGGACCCGCTGCCTCCGCAAACGCGCGCTGCCCGGGCCGCCCCCGGCGACCCCTCTCCGCTCGGAGGCTGCTTCGAGCCCGCCACCCGGGACTGGCTGACACGGCCCGGGTTGGCCCCGTCCGGCTCTCCCCGCCCGTTCCAACCCCACACCCCGCCCTCCTACTCGGCGAAGCAGGGGAAGCCCCCACCGGCCGGTGCCCGCGGGCAGCGCGCTCAACGGAACGCCTCCCGGCTCGGACCCACGGCCCCTGAGGATCGACGCCCGCGAGCCTCTAACGCTTCAGGCGGGCCTGCCGGACGCTCTCCCCGTCCCGCAGGAAGCTGTCCCTCGGCCGGCAGAGCCAACCGCCACCGCCGCACTTACCGGGGAAGGCAGAAGTGGCCGCGGGCACCCAACCGCCCTCACTCCCTTCAGGGAGCTGATGAGCGCGCTCGAAGCGACCGCCTCGCCCGCCCCGCCACTACGTTCGACGACGGCGCACGCGCGCGCAGGCCACGCCCCTGGGTGCGCGGGCCGGGCCGCAGAGCACGCCGGGAGCGTGAGTCTCCCAGCCCGCCACAGCCAGGAGCGGTCGGCGGGGACAGGCCGAGCCTGGGGAGGGCGCCGGGGTGCGCCGCCGCCATAGCAGCACGCGGACGACTGGAAAGCCGGCCTCAGTGACCTCCTCCTCCTCCGGGATTGCTCCACTCGAGGCCCTTCCGCACACCAGCCACCACTCCATTCCGAGGCGGGGTCAGCTCTCAGCAGTCTTTGCCTCGCCCACAGTCGATCTGCTAGTCCCGTTAGGGTCAAACGCTTGCAGAATCCGGCCGCTTCACACACTTCTGCATGGGGTCCAGCCCCCTGCTGTCTTTGCAGGGGTAATTCTAACAGACACTTAAACGGTGGCTTGGCACCGTCTCGCCCCCGCCTGGCCCTTGTCGGCGTCGCCGCAGCCACGTGGATGCTGCGGAAACCTACACGGCCCCTCCCACTTCCCAGGGTTCCGCGCGGCGGTAGCCTAAGCCGCTGCAGGCGATCGGCCCCCCACCTCTCCGCTCTCCGTCTGGCTCCTGTTCTGGGGGCCCCAGGCAGCCCGGACTCCGCCGTCCCCACCACCACCCACCGGGCGGGACCCCACGACGACGGGCAGTTGTCCCGGCTGCTCCCTCCCGGCGTGGGCCGCGTCTCCGCGGGTCGACAGGGGCGCGTGGTTTTCACCGCGAGGCCTCCCCCATCGCCTCCCGGCCCTTCCTGCCCTTCCCCGGTCAGTGTCTCCTCACTGCACTATCAGCTCCCGGGTGTAGACAGGGTTGCGTTTTGGGCATTTTTGTTTTAACCGTGAACCTCCTGTGTATGAACAAGACTCGGGAAAAAAAAAAAATGTTCTTGCATGAATGAATCTTCCCCAAGCCCAGTGCAGTTGGCACCTGCCCTCTTTTCTGTCACGGTGCATGTAAGGAAATACATTCCACAAAACCACGCAGTCACTCATTTATCACAAGTGTTTCCCCAAATTACGAAGTTTGAATAATTCTTTGTCTCCTCATTTTTTACCTGTGTGTTTTAAAACAACTTTCTTTACATGCCATAAAATTCACTCATTTGAAGTGTACCGTTCGGTGATTTTCAGTTATTTTAAAACCATTTGCAAACATCACTATAGGAACATTTCCAACGTCGCCCCAAAAAGTGTGTGCATACTTACAGTTGAGGTAGGAGATCAGCAGGACTTGTTTTCCAAGCACTGGTCACCACCCCAATGATCGAAACAAGACCAGGTCACAACAGGATGCTCTGAAAAAAAAAAAAAGCCAGAACTGCCCTAAAGAAACTGGCCCAAACTAGCTAAAACCAGGACGGTGACCAAAGTAACCTCTAGTGACCTCACTGCTCATTATATGCTACTTATAACATTTAGCATGCTAAGACACTTCCACCAGCACCCTGACACTTTATGCCATGGGCAATGCCATGGCAATGCCCAGACCTTACCTTATGGTTTAAAAGGAGAGGAATCCTCAGTTCCAGGGGAACTCCCCACCCCTTTTCCAGAAAATTTGTGAATAACCCACCCCTTATTTAGGTATGATGAAGGAGTATGTATAAATATAGCTAGCCAGTGGTCAGCTCCCTGGCTCATGCCAGTAATCCCAGCACTTTGGGAGACCGAGGTCGGTGAATCACCTGAGGTCAGGAGTTGGGAGAACAGGCTGGCCAAAATGGTGAAACCGGGCATGGTGATGGGCACCTGTAGTTCCAGCTACTCGGGAGCTGAGGCCGGAGAACTGCTTAAACCTGGGAGGCAGAGGTTGCAAAGCCAAAAAGATTGCACCACTTCACTCCAGGCTGGGCAACAGAGCGTGACTCCATCTCAAATGTATATATATAGCTAGCCAGCAATCCATGAGTGTTATTCTGCCTGTGAGGTAGCCCTGCTCTGTTTACCGGAAGTAATTTTCCTGTGCTTTGTGGCTCTGATGTACTTGCTTTGCTTTCATTTTACTGCCAGCTTGCCGTTGAATTCTTTTTTTTTTTAGGCTATGTGCTGCCGAAGCGAGCACATTGCTGTTGAATTCTTTCCTGTGAAAAGTCAAGAACCCTCTCAGGCTGAGCTCCAGTTTTGGGGTTCACTAGCATTATAGCCATTCTCTGTTCCTACCCCTATCCCTGGGCAACTACTAACATACTTTCTGTCTCTCTGGTTCTGAACAGTTCATGTAAACGGAGTCATATACTGTATGGTCTTGTGCCTCTAGCCTCTTGTGCCTAGAATGTTTTCAAGGTTTATCCATGCTGTGACATGCATCAGTATTTTGTACCTTTTTACAACTCATATGTTTTTATTGCCAAATAGTATTCAGCAGTTTTGAGTATCCATTCACCACTTGGTGGACATTTGAATTTTTTATACTTTTTTGGTTATTATGATTGATTCTGCTGTGCCATTCAGAGACAGACGGTGATGTAACGACAGGAGCAGAGAGATTTGAAGATGCCAAGATGCTGGCTGGGAAGATGGAAGAGGGTCCCCAAGACAAGAAATATAAGGAATGCAGCTCTAGAAGCTGGAGATGGCAAGGAAAAGGTTTCTTCTCTCAAGACTCCAGGAGGAATCAGCCTGCCAACACCTTCGCATTAGCTCTGTGACACTGGTTTCAGACTGTTTTCCAAAACTATGAAAGAATAATTTGTTGTTTTCCACCACTAAGTTTGTGGTAATTTATCACAACAACAATAGGAAACTAATACAAAACCTTTATTTATGAACCAAAAATTGAACTTCATATATGCTTCACATGTAATGAGATATTCTTCTTTTAATTTTTTTCAGCCACTTAGAATGTGGAAATCATTTTTAGCTTGCAGGCTGTACAAACACTGATGGTGAGTCAGATTTAGCCTGTGGGCTATCGTATAAAATATCCTAAATTAAATATTAGTGTAATGAATTCAGGTATGTATTACAGTAATAATATGTAATAACCCTCAGGTTTTTATAATGTTTCAAAATTAGAATGCTGTTAATGGAATCCATTACAGATTAATGCAGCAAAAACAAAGCCAAATAAAACATGAACATTTCAATAGACGTCTTAAAAACATTTAATAAAATGTAATGCTTTTCCTATTAAAAAGGAAATAATTCAGTATTAGATAGGAAATTTATTATTTTAATAGTGTTGTTTATCATAAACTATACAAAACATTTACCCAACAGTAAAAAACTGTAGCATCTTTGATCATCCAATCTAAAGTAGCTACGACTATCTACCCCACCTTTTCTTTATAATACCCTGTTTTCATTTATCACAATCCATAAGTATCTTGTTTAGTTTTTACTTGTTTATTTTCATTCTTTTCCAGAATAGACAGCAATTGTTCACTTCTGTATCCTTAGGGCATAGTACAACGTCTGGCACATACTAGGTGCTCAAAATTTTTTGAACGAATTCCCATTTGTAACGCTAACTTCATGTATCAAGTTGGCTGATCCATGGTGCCTAGCTAATTGGTCACACATTATTCTGCATGTTTCGATGAGGGTATTTTGGGATAAGATTACCATTTAACTCAGTGAACTGTGAGTAAAGAAGAGTGCCCTCTGTAATGTTGGGTGGAGGGGACTCATCCAATCAGCCGAAGGACAAAGTAGAACAAAAGACTAGCCTCCCCTGAAATTCTGTCAGCAGACAGCCTTCAGGCTTGAATTGCAATACTAGTCTCTCCTGGGTCTCCAGCCTAATGGTCTTTGGACTTTAACTTCAGATTTTGGAATTGCTAGCCTCTATAATTGTGTGAACCAATTTCTTAAAATAAATCTTTATATTACACACACACAAACACATACACCCCTATTGGTTCTATTTTTCTGGAGAATTCTGACTAATAATATACCATTGAAGCCTGAAAGACAATATGAATGCTTGTTATCACCAGAGTCATTCAACACTGTTAGAAATTCCAGCCAATGCATTAAGGATAGAAAATAAATAAGATTATAAATATGGTAAAGAAGATATACTGTCGCTTTCAAATATGATTGTTTTTGAGAAAAACTAAGTGAAATGTATAAAATTCTTCAGTAAGGGGTTAAGTACAGAACACATAAAAATCTATAGTTTTCTTAGCTACATTAAATAACCAGCCAGTGAGACTCTGTCTCTACAACAAAACAAAACAAAACATAATCTTTTGAGCATTAAAAGAGACTGAAATGGGAGTCTAAGACATGCCATAAAGTAGAGAGTGTGCAGCATATACCACAAAAGTACTAACTCCAAAATATATGTCTATGAATCCACCAGGAAATTGAACAACTTAGTAGAAAAATAAGTGAAAATTTAAAAAGATTAAAAATTTTACAGGAAAGGCGACACAAATGGCTCATAACCATAAGATGGTCAGCCTCATTAATAGAGAAATGAAAATTAAAACATAATGTGTTACCATTGTGTACCAATTAGGTTGGCAAAAAATTTATAAGTCTGATAATATCAACTATTAGCAAGAAAGTAAAGCAACTGGAAATTCAGTACAGCTCTGGAAGGAGCATAAATTGGGACAACCAATTTGAAGTCATTTAACATTATCTAGTGAAATCACAGATGTGCATTCCTTATAACCCAGTAATTCCACTTCTAATCAAATGTGGCCAAGAAACATGAATAAGAATGTTCATTTTAGCATTGATTGACATTTCCTCCAAATGGCAGGAGTCCAAATGTTCATCTGCAATGGAATCATAAAATAAAACGATCATATTTGTATGGTGAAATACTGTCCACATATAAAAATGCATAAGGCTGGCGCAGTGCCTCACACCTGTAATCCTAGCACTTTGGGAGGCTGAGGCCGGCATAACACTTGACCTCAGGAGTTTGAGACCACCCTGGGCAACATGGTGAAATCCCATATCTACTAAAAATACAAAAAATTAGCTGAGCGTGATGGCAGGCACATATAACCCCAGCTACTCAGGAGACCAAGGCAGGAGAATCGCTTGAACCTGGGAGGTGGAGGTTGCAGTGAGCCAAGACTGTGCCACTGCACTCCAGCCTGGGTGAC